TTCTGTTATGTAAGTAATAATATAGGTTAGAAAGATGACTGAAGTTATTGTTGAGGTTAACTTCGATTAAGTAGTTAATTGAGATTAACCGTATATGTAGCTATTTATATCATAGAGTGGTTGCCTACCTTGGGTATATATATCCTAAGGGTGATAAGAAGTTTCTCACTTCAAGCAGTAGACTCTCTCAAGTGTATTCCTCCGTGGGCGTAACACTTGAGGATGAACCACGTTATACGTGTGTATCTGTGTTTATCGTCTTGTTGATTGCTCTGCAAGAGATTTAAATATATACGATGTTAATGTTAATCTCTGTATGGAATTTAGAAATTGACTACTATGATTAGTGTTTTCAACGTTGGACATTGGTATGATTGTGGGCAAGAGTTGATTGACTATTTAAAATAAGGAGTAAACTTGTTCAATGATCATATTTTCACTAAATCTTCCTACTATTTTTCTCAATCAGTGTCTGTTGCGTGAAATTCTCACTAAGTGCTATCATATTATCGCAAATCAAACGAGCTGACTTGGCCATTTGAATCGCGTCGCTTGTGCCCAACAAAAATTGGAATGGTTGTGATGTCTAGCAATCGCGTTGTAATGATTGATCAATGAGCAATTTTGATTTTGCAACAACAAAATCTTGCTTGTTCTTGCATTGGAGCATCTGCATATTTGTCCGGATTGTAAGTCGCAGCGTCAACATGTAATAGATTTTTGCAAAAAAAAGACATACGAGACAGGTTTTTGAACGAGTTCAAAAAAGTAGCTCATGTTGCTTCAACTTATTTCTTTTCATCTTCAATGCATTGGACCTAAGAAGTATTATTATGTATCATCTATTGATGATTAGTGGTTTATAACTTTTAAAAGTTAGAAAGTGCAAGTTGATACTCAAACTTAATACAAGATGAGATATTTTAGTATTGTGATCTCCGGGTTAACTCTCACTCAAATTTTTCTCATATGACTTTTTAGTACTTCATCATGGTTCTAGAAAGTAATGATTATCCAATGTGTGCGTGTATCGAACATACTCTCACACAAATTTTCCACTCATCATTCAATTGCAAACACTCATCGATACTCAAAATTATAGTGAAATTCAAGTGTATATTGAATAAAACAAGTCTTCACATGATAAATTCTCAAAACTTGTTTGAGAGTCTATTCTCTAACTTTCTACTTATACTACTTAAGAAATTTTCATATTGGTAATTAGCTAGTAATTTTATTACACTAGAATAAATCTTGATAGATTTTACTAATTCTCAATACGTGACAACATGTCATTTGCCTAGCTAAATCTTGTAGAAATTTTTTAATGCTTAAATTGAGTTGGCGACATGCTATTTGAAACTTTTAGAATTTTCTCTTGTCATTTGAGTTAAGCTTTAATTTAACTAATCAACGAAATTTTCATTATTTAGTCAAATCAATAAAAACATATCATTTTATCAAAAGTATCTTCTCTTGAAATCGATACATTTGTAATAGGTAATTAAATAATGTTCACTCAAACTTTCTTGAATTATTTTAATTATTTTTCTATTTATACACATTATAATTAAATACAATCATAATTAGACAAACTTAGTTGAACCAATTAGATTTTTCACAACTTGAATTTGTGTTAATCATAACTTTAAAATATATGTGAATTTTATATTCACATTGCCATATGAAGAATAATAATAAGATATTATGTGAATGTTAACTTCATCAATAATAATGTTAAATTCAATGAAAATATATATAATGGAGAAAATATTAAATAGATGCTTTAATAATATTTAATATTTATTTATTTATTTATAATTAATAAAAATATTATTTTTCTTTGATTATAATTCAAATCTTTTTTAAATATATAAACATGAGTAAAGATTTCTGATTAATAAGGTTTAACAAAGTAAAAAAATCAAACGTTAAATATGGTTAAAAGAACATGATCATTAAAAAAACATAAAATAAAACATTTTCAATATTTTTGAAGTTTCTTAAATAAGAATAAAATTTATTTTTCAAAATATAAACACATGATAAGTTTAGTGAAAATTTTAATTTTTAGTAGTATATTTGTAGTACAAATGTGTGATCATTATTTTTTATAATAGCTTGTATTTAATTTTATTTTGAAGAAATAATATATGAAAATTATAATGTAAAACTAAAATTTATAAATGTTCATGAATTATCATTTGATTTTTAATATTTAAATATTTTTGTAGAACTTATCATAAAATGTCTCAAATAGCTTTAAAGAAATGTCAATGCATTCATATAATTTTATGTTTTTGAATATACAAATTTTAAAAAATTAAGTGAGTTAACAATATGAATATTGTTGTATCAGTTATAAAACGATTATCTATTAATTAAAATATCTGTATTATAAAAAATTTAATAATTTTTGGAGTATATAATCAGAATATCATTGAGATTTGGATAATATGTTTGTTCTAATTTAACTTTTGAGTAGATGATATAGGAAGTATTTATAAAATATTTTCCATATTCATCATAGCTCAATTCAATCGTTTAATCAATAATAAAACGATCGGATCTGTTAAATATATTTAAACTAAAGTTGAATGTCTCAAACAATAGTGGATGGACTAAATTATGTAAAAAACACAATAGAGTGAATATTTTCAATATTTTTAATTATTTATACTTTTTTGTAATGAAAAATTATGAAATCAGAGAAATTTTTAATATTTTAATAATTGTAGAGGTAAAAATTTTTGTTCGCTCAAAAAAATAAATGCTCCTATAAAAAATGAATCCATATCTTAAACTTATTTTAATATTATTAAAGTACATATTTTAAAAAATTACAAGTAAGATACTTTTTGTATGTTATAAAAATGCTTATTTTGGAATGTGTTTCTTTTTTACATCTAGATTTTTATTCATATATACTTTATTTTGAAGTAATTTTCTTAGCATTTCTGTTTTTAAGTTTTTATTTATTTCGAAATTTGTTTTTTGATTAGTAATTCAAATTATTTTGATTAATATTTATTAAAATCAAGAATAGTGGTTTTGAAAATTTATTTTTTATTAGAAAAAAGTGAATGCTACATTTGATGTATTGATAAGTATGATACAATCATACTATTCAAGTAATTGTAGAATAAAATCATCAAGCATGTGATATATGAAGATATATTGTATGAATTATGACTAAGCAACTTTCTGAAAAATCTTAGAGTCTGACATTTGGATTTCTAACAATAATATTTACTTCAGTGATACCTTTCAAACCAAAATCTTGATATGTGAAAAGGAAATAGAACATCATGGAAAATTTTTCTATGGTAGTTTGTCTACCTTTCATATATATATATATATATATAGGTGCTTTAAAAAATGGGCTACATATGATAACTACAAGCTATACAATTATGTGGTGATATGTACATCAAATATAGTTCTGTGGACAATGTGTGAATAAATTTGCATGATATTATCTTAAGCTTGATGTTTAGTTGTTTGTTATATGCGATTTTATAATTGGATATTGTGGTGTAAGTGACATGATGTCAATTGTGAGATGAAAAAAACCTGATTGAACAAAATGTCTATACTTTTAGAACCAAACTTTATGAGCAAAAGATGATGACTACATAGTTTTACGTAATAAGAACATGACAATATGTCTACAATTACTTGTTCCAGAGTTTGTTGTTTAACTAGATGTGACAATGTATGATTGAATGTAATTGTTGAAATTTGCCTATATTTAGATAATTCTAGACATGATGTAGATTAGTATTATTTTCAGGATTTGCATAGGAAGAACGAGCATTTTACTTGAAAGTATGTTAATAACATAAACTATGTAAGTTGGGTATGTGCTTTTAATGCTATATCACATCCCATGTTAATTTTCCCAGATTGATTGATGTTGGTGTCTCCATGCATAATGTTTTATTGGCTGGATGTGGTATACATGCCAAAAAATATTTTAGCAATTATTTTCAACAAACGGATTCAATGTTTTCATCCATGCCACTAACATTAGTTTTATTTGCTGAAAAAAAATAGTGTTAAAATGTTAAACTGTTTGTTATCTGACGAGAAAGTTTGACAAACTTTAGCAGGCCGTTTTGGAATTCCTGTTCATGATTCATGGATTGGGACGAAATTGGATATATGTTAAGTTGTGAAATTAATAATCGCATGATGTCTCTTGTGAGGACATAGCTAGCGGTAGGATTCGAATGATAGAATGGGGTACTATGTGGGCATAGCCTCTCTAATTGCTTAAATAATATCTTGGACACTCAGAGAAATAAATTATGTTGAAAACTATGTAGATATATATTTTGGAAGATAATTGATGCCCATATGTGAAGGGGATCCTAATGATTGTCCAGGTAGGTTAAATTTAACGGAAAGAGCTTAAAACTGTATGCAAAAAACAAACTAGTTGTTTGTAAAGCTAAAAGGTATGAGTTGACCGGCAGTGAATCAAGCTATGTCGTGTTACATAAAATTGGTTTTATTTTAGAAACTGATAGAAATGAATCGATTGTAACGAAGTTCCACTAATGACGCAGGAGTAGATTAACCTCTGAGACGAGACACTCACATCTCAAAGTAGGTGGATTTTTTCGCATTAGGTCTATCTGATTTGTTTTCACATTTAAAGTCTTTATTCTATGGATTGCGGGTGAATTTCTTTCTCCTCGGTGTGTCTGACCGTTCATCAGCTATAGTTAGAAAAAGAGGACCAATGAAGTCAAAATGATAAAAAGAGGTAATCAATTTCAAACCCTCCACATCGGCTGGTCGGGACACGTGTGAGGCTTGCTCGGGTGGGAATGGGCTCCGAGTTAATGGCTTCTCCGCACAGCGGACGATTTCTTTTACCTCCGTTTGTATCGGGGTCCAGATTAAGCAAGAACGTCCCCGCCTCTTTTCCGGTTTTTGAATGTGACCGTTGGTGGTCGAGGGTTTGAATTGCTTCCCACTGCCTGCACTCCCACCGCTCCCAACGGCTCAATACGAGTTCGTCGCTCAGGCGAGCTGTGCCCGCTCCCTCCCGGTTCGACGAGAAGACCTCGAGAGTCGACGATCGCCGTTCTCCACGCTCTTCTTCCCCCCCCCAAGCCGGGTCGCATTTTGTGTCCTACTTTGTTCGATCACTTTCGATTCATTCTTTTCTGGGTGTTTTAGCTCCCAACGATAGATACGATCTTCGACTTGACATTCTTCGATCAGGCAGGTAGGCACAGAGAGAGAGAGAGAGAGAGAGAGAGAGAGAGTTGTTCATGAGAAGATAGATTTGGTCCGTAGGCGGGGCAGATTTTCGTCCGGGAAGTCTGATACGCGGAGGAGGACGCAGGACCATTTCGGGACAGGGAGGATCGATCAAGTTGGCCGATCCAGAGGAAGAATGTGTCGAGTTACAGGGGAGAGCTGAAGTGATTCATGTTGTTGTAGCGGACGAATGCCGTTTGAGAAGAATGACTTGACGCTTCCAAGAAAAGGTGTTTGGAGAGAGCAGTTTTCTACAGTCACAGACCCAATTGATGTTCCTCACCCACGGCGGCCAAGGAAACTAACAGGAACAATTCTGACGTACCTGGAAAATTGTGAAAATGCCACCGCTTTTGACCCGATCGCGGACGATTCGGGGTACAACATCGCCAGCAGAGTCGCCTGTCAAAGATAGGGAACCGTTTACTCTGGGACCATTTCGGCATCAGAAAGCCTTCTCGGCTTCGAATTCTTCTCGTAGATCACGAACGAATGGAGAGAATGTACCTCCAGATAATGTTTATACCGCAGCCTACGTAAAAGCCAACACTCTGAATCAAGGTGCTGGATCCCCGGCTCAGAGCAAATCGGCAACGAAAGGACGCAATGCAGGTGGTGCACTTCTCCCGGGGAGTCCTGCATTACTCCCACGACCTCCGTCATCTAAACCTTCTCCTGGGGGAACAAGCCGACCAAAGAATGAGCCAACCAACGGCAACATTCAGGATGCCGCTGGTAGCATCAAGCGAAAGCTTAGCTGGGAAACGAACAGCGGCGCTCTGTACGAGAATTTCACCAACACTGTTTCAGCTGAAGTTGATGGGAGCGATTCCGGTGTCAAGGTACACTCCTTTCCTTCTTGGTGTGGCTGGAGACTGATAATTAGTGGCATCGAGTAGGGAGGTTCAGTACTTGACGCTTTCTCAACTAGGCTCTGCCGCCGACGCCTGTTGCGTCTCTAACTCCTTATTGTCAAAATCTTATTCAACTGAATGCACGAGCCACGAGGCATATATCCAGTAACATTGCCGGTCATCCGATTGACTGGAGACCACGTTATAAGCCTGCATCGCGACTTCAGTTCAAAGGATGAGGTGATCGGTGCGCACAGAGAGTATAACTTGGGCTACTTAAGGTTTACTCTCTAGTTAAGGACCTTTCTACTACTTTGACTGACTCCGGAGGGCATTCTCAGTCGGCAATTAAACTCGTAGTTCGCAAAAAATTCTGCCCATAGAACGAAGCTGACAGTCGCTGATACTGTCATGGAGTTAATGTGTTTGCAATCACTTTGCGAGATGCTCACTCTCTTCAGAGATGCCGAAGACGCAAATGATGTAGAGGCCCCTGCGTCGGCGGAATCTAAGATTTGATCGCACATTGCTGTTAGCCGCCGAGTAATCAGTGTGAAGCTACTTCTCTGTCGAGATACGGCGGCTGGAAGCTGTGGATGGTTTAAACTTCCAGCAGGATTGCTAGAGAAAGTGACACTTAGCGCTATATTGTGCAGGTAATTGTCAGAATGAGACCTCTGAATGCAAAGGAGGAACAAGAGGAGGCCACGAAAGTCGTACAGAAGATCTCAACCAATGCGGTCTCTTTGGGTGATCAACAATTTACGTATGACGCAATAGCAGGCGAGAATGCTTCCCAGGTGATTTCTCCAATTGACCTCTTTTCACGTTGCCCATCTCAATCTGTAGTTTTAGAGTTCCAGCGCTGCGTTTACAGGACGATCTGATTATTCCTGCTCTCACGTGATTTAGCAGCCCAAAGATGTATACCCTTTCATGCTAGTCTTACTCTTCAGTACAGTTTTATACCCTGCGTGAACATCTCTGCCTCTAGTAATTGTAGCAGATTTTGGAAGATATGTCTGGAGGAACGTTGCTTTTCACTTGTTCGTCGATGTAAACACTTTACTGTTGTACCTACAGAAAGAGGTCTTTGAAATGGTGGGCTTGCCTATGGTGGAGAATTGTCTTGCGGGCTTTAATAGCTCCATCTTTGCCTACGGACAGGTATATACTCCTAACTCTGAGTTTGTTCTGAAATCTCGTTTCTCTACCGCAAATTCAGGTCAGTGCTTCGTTGTAACTACTGACTTCCTTTGAATGGATTCAAACACTACTTGCATTTTAGACGGGAAGTGGGAAGACACACACAATGTGGGGAGCAACGAACGAAGCAGGTGCTGATTTACCACCAAGCAAGGACAGAGGAATCACTCCTAGAGTGTTCGAAGAGCTCTTTGCCCGCATGCAGCAGGTGCTTCTTTCCTCTAACTGAAACAGTGACTTCGACTGGGTCGGAGCGGTGATTGTACGTCGAAGTGATCTAATGATGCTATGTTACGTAGTTTACAGGTTTCCGAATTGCGTTTGCTGCATTCCTACTGACAATCTTGCCTTGAGTTTGCAGGAAGAGGAATTGAACACTGACAAAGCTCTGCGGTATCAATGCCGTTGCTCGTTCCTGGAGGTATCGGTTCATACTATTCTGAGGATTTTCAATTGATTCACAGCCATTCTTTCTGGTTTCATCGTGAACCTTAGCTGAATGGAATCTTGAACAACGGAACTTCTTCCTTATTTCCTTCTTTTTTCTGGAGTAATCTGTTGGCCTTGTTTGGTCTGCTTTTGTCACCATTTGTCTGCACTAATGCCTCATGCGTGCTCTACAATTTGACAGATCTACAATGAGCAGATTACCGATCTGCTAGATCCATCACAGAAAAACCTTCAGGTATGACTGGATGGCCGTAAACTGACTGCAATAATCAAAATTCTTGATTTGAAACGACTTTGGGATTATCTCTCGCTCCTGCAGCACGACAATGTTTATTTTAAAAACTTTTTTCCTCTATGTTTCAATATCTCCTTCTAATTCAAAGGCGAGGTGTATCCACGTTGCCCTACACTGCCGACTATTGATTTCTTCTTTGTCAATTCACTCAAATGAATGAGGATTGTAACGATGACAATCTCGTCTCCATACCTTGAATAAACACTTCCAGGGCAGATGCATCCAATTTGGTGAGTGAATTTTTTTTTAAAGTAGTTCTACTCGAATCATTGTGCGCGGACATGACTTTGCAGATTAGAGAAGATACGAAAACTGGGGTGTACGTCTACAGTCTCTCTGAAGAGTACGTCTCTAACGTCGATGACGTGACTCGTCTTCTACTTAAGGTCAGTAATAACGTGCAACTTAACAGCTTTATGGAGAATTGATTTAACTGTAGCTACATATATCTGGTTTCTTATAAAGCGGCGTGCATTGGACACGTCATATCGATCTTTGTATTTGTAACGAAATAACTCTGAATATGTGACAATAGTCAATCTTGCAAAATTAATGCGATTCTTATGATCACAGGGACTATCGAACAGACGGACTGGAGCCACTGTCATGAACAATGAAAGTTCTCGTTCTCACAGTGTGTTCACTTGCGTCATTGATTGTCGATTTAAGGTGAAATATCCTTCACATATTCTTATTGTCTGAAGGAGTTTGTACTTGTAAGACATTTGTTTCTCGACTCGGAGGTTTCAAAAACACTGTCCTAGGAATCCATCTGCACTCGCTCAAGATAGAACTGGCTCGAATTTCAAAATTATTTCAAACTCACCCTCATCCCACCGTCTTGTACTTGTCGACCAGAACTTGGCAGACGGGGTGAATAGCGTACGGAGCAGTCGCATGAACCTCGTTGATTTGGCCGGGTCGGAGCGTCAGAAGCAAACCGGCGCCGCTGGAGAGAGGCTCAAAGAAGCTGGGAATATAAACAAGTCTTTATCGCAACTTGGAAATGTTATAAACATCCTTGCTGACGTGGCTCAAACAGGCAAACAGCGCCATATACCATACCGTGACTCTCGCCTGACATTTTTGTTGCAAGAATCTCTTGGTGGAAATGCCAAATTGGCCATGATCTGTGCAATATCTCCAGCTAGCAGGTACTTCAATTTTACTCGGTTTGAAGATACGAGGTTCTGTCAGTGAAGTTTAAGTGTTCTATAACTTGCTCGTGCTTTTGGAGAGTTGATTTTCTGGTCGTCCTGGAGCAGACAGTTTTACCAATAATTCTGTCCGGGTAGACTTCTGAGGAGACTTTCAAGTTGTTCCTGTGTGTTTGGCAGTTTGCAGAACTAACTTGGATCACATACTTGACAGTTGCAAAAATGAAACGCTGAGTACCCTGAGGTTTGCCCAAAGGGCGAAGGCCGTGCAAAACAAAGCTGTTGTGAACGAGGAAACTGCAAGTGATGTGAATCTCTTGCGAGAGCAGATCCGTCAACTAAAGGTCAGAAGATAGTTCACATTTTTTCACTTCGCTGTTCCAGATTTACAGCACTTATATGACTCGTTCAGTCTTACCTTCCTGATTCTGAGTCTTCTATGTGGAACAGGACGAGCTCATGAGGATGAAAACCAATAGCAGTGAAGACCAGGGTACTGGAGGCTATTCGAATGGGTGGAATGCCCGTCGAAGTTACAACCTTTTGCGGCTTAGTTTAAGTCATCCCATGAATATAAGTGCAGCAGACTTGGATCAGGATGATGATCTTGAGATGCAGATCGATGAAGATGACGATGAGAGTGGACCCGTGTCTACAAGTTCAGCCGATACAAAGGGTGGGGTACGACCAGGAGCGTGTAGACTTGAGGCGATTGAAGAAAAAGATTGGCTCTCTGATACAGTTATGGAGATCGAGGAATCAGAAACGGGTGAGGTCAACTCAAAAGCTGATGGAGATGATGATCGTACGGACATAGAATCCAAGGTCTTTGAGGAATATGATCCCATTAGTATTCACGAGTCTGAAGCAGAGGTGAACCTTGACGATGATTCCCCAAACTTGAAGACACCGGAGTCTGTCAAACTTCAAGAATTAGTTCTTCCGAAGTTACACTCACCTCCCTTGAGTGTGTCCCCGCGACTGAAAGGAAATACGAGAAAAGGTCTAACGGGCTCTCCACTTGCTCCTCGCGTCGAGTTGGCAGTTCATGCCAACGTCCGCGATTCTGCAGTTTGTGACGAAATTTACCACTCCACCCAGGAAGGCTTTGCTGATAGTTGTACATCCCTGTCCCTCCAAATGAAAAGAAATTCTGTAGTTAGATCAGCTGCTCGTGCAAGCATGTCAGCAGCCAGGCCAACAGAGAGATTGGCCGCATGTTTACATCGAGGTCTGCAAATCCTTGACAACCAGCAGAGAACTTCTATAGCTGCTGTTCGTAGTTCCAGTGCCGGGTTGAGGTTTTCCACGCAAAATTGCGACTTCCGCATCCCGAAAATGATTGGGACAGTCGACAAGGCAGTACAAACCAGTCCAACAGTTGTGGTTAGTCAGAGCACCTCCCCTCTAGTGCTCCCCTACAGTTCTGCACAGCCTCTCGAAGAATTGTCCAGTCGTAATTTGGAACTGGCACTGACACTGAGTGCATCTCCCAATGAGATGAGAACGACCACTTCATCCCTGAAAGACCCGCAAGAATCACAGGGAACTGTTACTTGTGATTCAATTGTGGTCCCTTTTAGCAAATTGGAAACCGGTCCTGAGTCAATCGGCTACCTGCTTCCAGAATCTGGAAAGGCTAATCTCCAGTTAGACTACAACTTATCACCTGATAATGTGGGCACAGAGCTGCTGATGGAATCCATATCTTTACCAAGAATCGAGAATGCTGAAGCTGAGTCGCCTTGCACACCATGTGACGAAGGAGGCGATTGTCTGCAGGAGATAAATACAATGTCCTCAGAAGTTGCAGTCCAGGTTTCTCTCTCCCACTCTGTACCAGTCAGTTATCCTTCAAGTAGCCAAGACGCCTCACAATGGCAACTTGTAACCATGGATGTACCGATATCCACGAGTGACAGCGGTGGTAACTCAACAAGCCTTCATGTGTCAAAGGTAAAAGCTCATTTATCTCCGTAGTTTACAATAGTAGTACTACTGCACACCGAAATTCGATAGAGAATATATTAACAAATGGTAACAGCATTTCCACGCACTTACCTTCTACAGGCCGTGGAGAATCTGCTTACGGGAGCTATCAGGAGGGAGCGCGTCGCGGAAGAGATGATGTTCAAGCAAGCAGCCGAAATCGAGCAATTAAATCGACTGGTGGGTAGAAAGCTTTTAGCTTAGAAGTTCAAAGACCTGGAAATTTAAGACACAATTTGAAGTGGAGAACGTAGCAACGCCTTGCAAAAATTTGTTTACTGTAGCATAGAAAATTCTCTTCGCACTCCTTTTGATTTACGCTAGTGATGGACTTGAATACTATGGATGTACTCTCCAGGTACGTCAATACAAGCATGAACGAGAATGCAACGCCATACTACATCGAACACGAGAAGAAAAAATTGGCCGACTCGAGTCTCTCATGGAGAGTGCTATTCCTACAGACGAGTATCTCAACGAAGAGTGGTCGGCACTTCTTCTCGAGCACAAGGTTTGTGTGCTCTAAGGACATTGTCTCGAAGTCCACCACTGTGCCTCGTTTTCAGGAACTTTCAATGCAAAGCGTAGCTTAGCACAGTTGCCAGGATGGTTAATATCGTGCATGATTGGCTTATCCTACGTCCAATAATCAGCTTGCGAGAACACTTCTAACTACTCTGATTTGCGGACAGTTACTGCAAGAGAAGTTCGATAATCATCCTGAGGTGACGAACTCCTCGGTGGAACAACAACGTTTACTCGAAGAGCTGAATAAGTACCGGATGTTTTTTGACTTGGGGGAGCGCGACGTCTTGCTTGAAGAGATAAGTCAACTGCGAAATCAGCTGCAAAACATTCTTGAGCAACCTGGTTCATCTGGTAAAAACAGGCGCCTGTCATCAACACGCAAGTCAATCCAAGTTGTCAACAATCCTACAAGGGACACCGAATGTCCAAGTACTTCCCAAGAAGCTCGTTCTCTTCACCTGTTTGCCATTCCCCAACACCAGGAGCCCTCCCAAGTGCAGCCTGACAGTGACATCAGTAGAGCACTCGTCGTTACTGATGCACGCAGCAGTGAGGAAATGCGTTGGGAAGTGGAGAAAGAAGAGTGGGAAGAACGAGAAAGAGACTGGATGTCCGCTCTTGAAGAGATGCGGGATGAAGTGGAATCATATAAGCGGTTGGCAGAGAAGAGAAAGCAAGAATTTGAGTGTGAGAAAAGATGTTCTGAAGAGGTTCAAGAAGCTTTGCAGATGGCTATGGTTGGTCACGCGAGGCTTCTAGAGCAATACGCAGAACTTCAAGAGAAGCACATTGTCTTGATATCCAAGCAGAGAAAGATACGGGAAACGTAAGTTGTTGTCTTACTTGAGCATTGTATATTTTCTCTCGCTCCGTAGAGGAACTGCTCAAATTTTGGTAATCATTAACACTATATACACTTTCTTCTACTTGCAGAACGGTGGATGTAAAGAAGATGGCAAAGAGAGCAGGAGTAAGCAACTTTGAGTCTAGGTGGTTAGATGCTCAAGCCACCCAGATGGCAGCCATGAAGGTTGAGTTTGATGAAGAGAGAAGAGCTGCTAAAGAAGAAATTCAAGATTTACAAGTCCAGCTTCGAGACACAGCAGAGGCTGTACAAGCTGCAGGAGAGCTGCTCGTGCGTCTTAAGGAAGCAGAAGAGTCTGTAATGGTAGCTCAGGTGAGCGTCGTCGGCTTCGAAAAACTTTCTGTCTGTTTGAATTTGCCTCAAGTTAATAGAATCTTGGCTGACATCGCTTCTTAGATTGCTGCCTCACCTTCGATTTCTGTCGCAAAAATTTATTACGACCCTCCCAAATAATTCATTATTCCCTGTTTGTTGTATACATGAGTTTTTCCATGAAGTTAAGCCTCTCATTTAAGTTTTGTTGTAAGAACTGCATTAATGAGAAATAGTATGATATAGAAGTAGTATGTCTACTAGCTCTGACTTTGACTTCTTCAATAACATGCCAAACGTTAATAAATACACAGGCTTTATGCATGTAAGCAACCGCATGTTAGACCAGCGCTTAATGGAAGCATTGTCTTTTGAAACAGGACGCTGCAGCTATTGCGGAGCATGATGCAAATTCGATAAAGAGAGACCTGGAAAAGACGAAAAGACGTCATGCCACTGAGATTGCGACATTGCAACAACGGTTATTGGAATCACGACTGCAAAAGACTGCTGTTTGTCCGATGTGTGTCATGGCAGAGAGAGTGAAGTTCCAGTTCACCGAAGTAGATGCTGAGACTGCACAAGCAACAATAGAGGCAGAGGCACGAGCCATGGCACTCAAGGAAGAGAAGGAATGGATGGCTAAGCAGCGGGAGCTGGCAGCTGAAGAGGAAAGAAGAATGCAAAGCTTACATGACATGGACGAGTACTCGTCAGTTTTGACGGGAGAATTTGACGATCACGGATGTGATTCTGAAGGCCTACACCTAGAGGAGTTTGACGATCTTGACCACTTGTTTATGCCCTCTGAGGGCCCCTCTGTCAATATATGTACACCAGAAAAGCGGTGATCACCTTATAGTTTGTTTCTTTTTCCTGGTATTTGGCAACGTCATATTCACTCGATCGATGACAGAACAAGGGCAGCGCGGTATATCGCTGCCAGTTCTACAGTCATGCGGTGTGAAAATAGTTAAGTTTTGCAGCCAGGTTGTGCAGGCTGGTGCATTGTGGAAACACCTATATCGGTCTCATGGAGCACCAACCTTAGTTTTGCACGGAAAATCTCATTCTGTGCAGGCAGTGAGAAGAGACAATCACAGTTTCGCTGCCGTGGACAACGTATAACGAGACTCTAGAATGTCGAATCCTAACCTGACACAATATTTTCCTGAAGTCTCAGGTTTGATCTAGACTTATTGCGGTAGATCAATATTAGCTTTCTGTAAAGTTAGGTTAACATAATAGATTTTAGACAAGTTCAGAATGGTAACGCACCATTCTGAGGCGGAGTAGCACACCATTATTCTTTTAGGCATATTCGATGTTCAGCTTCTAAATTTAAATAAAATCCAAAGCTGTCCATTTGCGCTCTATATTTAATCTGCGTTCTCGTAGAACAGGCCTTGGACTCAAATTATCCTTTTGGTCTTGAACAACACCACTACTGTTCTCTGTATTGCACTTATTGTGGTGATAATGAAAATTGTGAGTGGCGAAGAAATAGTTGTATTCAGATTTGGATTGTTGCAACGGCAGATTTGTTCGAGAAAAAAACTGCCACTGGAGCAATGATGAGATTCTTAGCAGGTCATATATTGCGAAGAGAATCGAAGTGTTGGTATAAACTGGCTTAGTTTTGTTTATGTACTTCTCGTAATGCATATACCTGGACCAACGTATCTGTCTGCGTATATGCAACATGTTGTCAGGAGTCCAGAATGGGGGTCAAGAATTGAAGATCAACTTGCAAGCGAGTCATCCGGGTGCATCCACACAAAGCCGACATGGGTTCCAGGGAAGCTGTAGCCCTGACAGCAAATCAGATGAAAAAAATTACATCTGTTGAGCTGGTTCTTAACCACTTCAAGGATATGTTTAGACACAAGGATGTGAAATGCTAACTACATGTGAAAAAATTCTGTTGGCCATGGAGGTTTTTGTTGCTATCAATATATGTGTACAGAAGTAATTCGGTTTGTTGGGATAAAAAACGTAGAGAGATTGTTAGACTTGGCGATACACTTTCTTCTAAGCCAACTCGTTTCCTGATTTCTTCCGATCACACTCTCGTCAGGAATGAATAAATTGTCGGTATAGTTATATCTCTGACTTCTTCCACACTTTCTGTAAATTTAAATATAGATTCTATATCTAATACACTTCTATCAGACGAACATATCATGCCTTCAACTTTTTCTCAAAATTATATCTCACTTTTAGAACTTTTTTTTTATCTTTCGTCTTTAAGAGTTTTCAAAACATGGGGAAAACATTGGGTTTGTTTAACATAAGATAGTCTAAAGGATATTTTTGAACATATATTTCGTGACATGTGAAACTCATTCTACTCTCAAGAGTAAAAAAGCTGAAAAAAATGTATTTCACATTGACGTTTACTTTGAAATTTTATTCGAAGTTCTTTTATAAAAGTTTGACAAATTTATCACTTGCAAAAAAGTTTTCAAATTAACACTTCATTTGGCAAAAAATGGAATTTTTGCAAAGAAAAGGAAAAGAGTACACTTCCAAAGAAATTCATGTGCATTGTCAACATAAAACTATAACTTGTCATCCCATTACAAAATAAAATGCATTAAAATTGATGTTTCTGAACAAATCAATAAAAAAAAGGGGAAAAAAATATGTTGAGCCAGTCTGTTTTATCACAAAACTGTTGAGCATAAGATAAGAAAACATGAGCTTATTCGATAATACTTTTGTATCTATTAAAATAAACATAGAAAACGTTTGAATTCAGATCAACAGGCAAATTTATTATTGTTTTTCATTAGTCTTTCAAAGCCAAAGACAGTATATCTAAACAATATATATATTTTTTAAAATGTGTTTTCTTGGAAATTAGAGCACTGTGAAATATTGCAAAGTATGAATCCACTGAATTGTAAATTTTTTATCACTAAAAACATTTCTTTGAATGAATTCAAATTCTTGAACAATGGAAGAAAGATTTGTCTTGTCATATTGAGAAAAAATATCCTTTAAATATTGGTGAGTGGCAAATTAATTTTGAATATTCTTATAGAAATCACAAATAAATACTCCTATAAAGTAGCAAGTATTTCAGATTGAGTAGATTCAAGCGAGTGACAAGATTGGCAAAGCTTGGCACACGAAAAAACATCAAGATCAAGTAAAATCATTAACAAAGGGGAAAAATAGCACTCTATTTCTCCAAAATGATTTGAGAAACTGCTGTTGAACTTGGTTGAAATATGATAATATTTTTCTCTTATAACTTGAAGATTTGACTTTAATCTTGGTAGAAACTTCTTCATACAGTGTCGACTTAGCTTTATTGAACTAAATTCAGTAAAGTTTATCATTGCAAAGGAAGATGCAATGATTGATTGACCACAAGATTTGAAAATTAGTGAAACTTTCAAAAAATCAAATAATGGTATAAATTATGTGGCTTTACAAATCAAATTACACTCAACTTAAGTAGTTTGAAAGGTGTTTTAAGCTACATTGCTTCAAGCTAAATTGTAGGTCTTGCGGATGGGTAAATGTAGAGTACATTGGCAATTATTATACCTTTGTATATGATTTTACTCTCTCATTTTTTGGCTACATTTGAGTTTAGGTAGGACTAGTTTATAGAAGATTTTCTTCTAGTTTTCATCTTGTGTAAATGTTTCTATAGGAAATCATATGAAGTTCATAGGTTTCATGACATGAATCAAGGAGAAAATGATTTGGATATAACTCAAATCTTGATTGATCTCGTTAAGTATCCGAAGTTGATAATTTAATAGCTTGTCATTATAAAGAAGAAGTTGATTGTGATTTTCGATATCAAATTTAATAATTCTTGAGTTAAGAATATTTTTTTTCTCTCAACGTAATTTAAACGAATAAACCATACACATTTTTCTTGTTTTTTGATAACACTTGTGTCGGTGTTGTCGACGTTTGATGCTCAAGATCTTACCATTTTAATTTAGTTTATCTATCTAAATTGAAAATTGAGTACGTGATAACGTTTTTAAAACAAATCATAAGATGATATAATTATATATAAGTACTTCATCTTTTCAAATATTCGATATAAAAATATTGATTGTTAGTCACAAGACTGATTTATGTAGATTAATTCGAATATAATGATGTTCAATTATATATGCAGATGATATAAATTTGAAGATCCAAATAATATACTTATTAAAGATTTTGCTTTATGGAATTTGAATCTTCTGCATCAAACTTGTCTTGTAAATTTAAAATTTGGATGAATTTTCTTCTTCTCTTCTCCCTCAAGCTGTATGATCCTTCAACTATCTTTTCTCCACCTATAGAAATGTATGAAAAAACTGCTTCAAACTGACTTGGGATATATTTACTAAACTTTTCTTCATAACATCGTTATCCAAACAGGGTTTGGAAAATCGTATAACAAAGACATTAGAACTGATAGTGGAGCATTTTATTTTTAAAAATCTACATCTACGAAGAGATGAACCTATTTGAAACTTTGAGTTTTAAGAAGAGAAGACAAAGCTAAAGGCACTAAAATCATGGATCTAGCTAAGAGGGATACGGCCAATAACAAGATCCGATAACTTCGATATGCCGACAATTTGTTGCTAGATATCGAGGTCCGATACTAAGATCAGTGAGACAAAAACTAAATAAGCGTTACCATTATTATGAAAAAAAAAAGAGACTTAGAGATATGGAAAGCTAATACGATGTGAATGTATAAATGACCGAGCCAAAACTAACAACGTGCCTTGTAACAAAAGCCACATATATACATAACTAGAAAGTAGACCAAGCTCGTTTGGTCTGTAATTTATTTCATAGTCCAAGTAACTTCTAAGTATGTAGGTAAACATGATAATAGGATGAGTGATATCAATAGATACATATAAAGATGGGTGAAGAGGCTAGCCGGAAAAACACTACAATCACTAAATCAGTCAATGAATAAAGAATAAAATTTTGGAATATACATAAGGACTCTACATCATACTCTTAGACCGGGTATTTAAAACATTGTCAGTAGGGCGTACTTTAGTAGCCTTTGAAGAGATAGCACTTACATTCCATTTAGATTTAGATATAGTAGGCATCATGTGTATAACAAATTTGGGATGTCTTGACGATGTGATGTGTGAGAACTTTCTGTCAAAGGTATGAAAGATTGATTACTGTATAAGAACATAGGTGAAGACGTGTGATAAACTAGTGCCATAATTGAATCAGGTTGAGAATCAAGCTAAATTTGAAGTGAGATCAAAGATGAATCTCATACTTTCACCTGAAATCAAAAGTGCCACAACGATTGAGAATGATAAAGAAGGAACAATTGGCCGCCGTATTTAGTGCAGAAGGTACACAAGGAGTAAGAAGAGGAAGATTCCAATTGATTGGGGTGAAATATCGGACGAAGTGCTTGACGAAGAATGAGAAGGGAGTGGGAATCGTGGAGTAAGAGAAAATAACTCTTTACAGTAAGACAAAAAGTTAAATAGCAGTGAGAAATGTAACGATTCGAGCCTTTTGATAAAAGGAAACGCAGCGCCCCCACGATTGCACAATGCTACTTTGTCAAGGTGGACGTTGATAACAAGACAACCGCGGGCTGTTCCGTTCCAGGCCCACCGGCACGCGACTGGCTCCCATCCTGAATAGATACACAACAAGAAAGTCTATAACTATTGTTGACATGAATCATAGAGGTTGTTTACGGGATGTTTTTACATTTCATCAAATTAAACTACAGGTTTTTGTCAAAAATTACAGAGTTTTTGTCTGGAGGTTAGCTTTTGTTTGTATCAATAAGGTGTGTAGGATCAAGGTAACTCAATTTTTTAACGAGGTAAGAATGAAAATTTTTCCATCCTTATAAACATGAGGACCCTCGCCTACTCTTCATTGAAATAAACAAATAATTGTCGGCCTTTTTTAAGTAGAAAATTCTCAGCAAGTACAAAAAATTCCATCAATTATGCATTCCAAGGATTCAAATGTTTTTATGATATGTATCTATTTTCCAACATTTGTAAAGTGCTGCAGCTGAAACTCTCAAATCCTGTATTTGTATATTTTCTAACAAATTCAGACCTTAAGTCAAATCATCCCTTTAGCAGTTTTAATGAAAGCTCTGCACGATATGAACTCATACGTTCTATATGCGAGTGTTCGTGAACATAAGTAGAAAAGAAATACTAAAGAAACTAAGTTTTGACACATATTTTCACCACACACACACATATATATATATATATATATATATATAATATGTGTTTTACATCATTACTGATCGTGGTTTGCTTTCCTCTCTGATGTTATAAACACTTCAAAGCTCAACGTTCAACACCCGCAAGTAAAGTCATCGTTTTCATGTTCGTTTATTCGTCGTCTTCTCATATTATTACATAAAGTCACTGAAAACATTTCCTCCTCTTCCTCACAATGACCTTGAAGCATCAAGATGCTTAAAACATAGTCAATATCATAAAGTATGAGGATGTGTTATAAGTACCAAACATATTTTCCTAATCCCGCTGATTATCAAATACGAATTTTTAGCACATGGGCCTCATAATAAGTGGGGATGTTAAGCCGTGAGGTAGTTTGAACTATATCGAATCCTTGAAGACGAGTGTAACAAACCATGAAGAATGCCACTTGTCAGAAAAGCACACAGACAGCTATTACTAGGGTCTCGAAGACGATTCCGTCTACCCACAACAGCTGCTAATGGCAAAAGTTTCATAGAGCATAGAAGTCCCGCAACGGACCGATGGCAAGAATAAAACGAACGGCACGGCGTTCATGTTGCGACCGTCGAGTAGCCAGAATTGGGACGTCAGAGAAGCGCAGTCATGCCTTTTCTTACTACATTGGAGAATCTGCGAAAGTGCAAACTGCGAGCATCGTCGGAATCGGTTCGTGCGCATCTGAGTGAGGATGGCTTCCGCTTGACCGGGGAGTGACTGATGGCTGCTGACTCGGCCCTTGGACCGATTCTTCGCGGAAGCTTTGGTCCGGGCGATGAAGGATCCCGATGCTCGATCGCTTTTGACTGCGCTCAGTTTGTTCTGCTGTTATGTAGGCGATGGTTTCCAGCCGACCAAGCATATACAGTGAATTAATTACCTCGACCAAGAGAATTTTTTGTGTGTGCCGCAGTGACGAATCCACGCAACCTCCTCTCTCTGTGCCCGGCGGTCTCGGATCTCTCACGTCTTGCTGTAGTTCACGACTGTTGAAGAGCTTTTGCGACGATGCTCAGTGGAATATTTCGCTATAAACTGAGTAGTTTAATCTCTTGATTGCTGCCTCCCTTTGTGGTTTCCATACCCTTTGTGGGCTTGGCGATCGGAAGGCAGTCCTTTCATGTTGTACCAATTGCTCTGCGCGATCGTTTCTCGGTGGAGAGCGGCGTCCAACCCTCGAGGCTGGTCTTCTCATCGGCCAATTCACGGCGCGTTCTCGTCTGAATTGTATCCAGCTTTCTAGCTCCGCATGCGGAACGTATGATGGTCGTCTGCCGTTGTCTTCGAATTTGGTGACTACAAGCGCGGTTGCAGGGCGATTGAGTGGTGGATCGTCATCTGCCCTTGTTGAGGATCGCCCTAGAGACAGGCAGGTCTGCAATGGTGTCGAAGTCGGACGACGCTATAGGGAAGTCATCTTCGTCTGAGAGCAATGGAGGAAAGAGTGGGCTGTCCATTCGGCAGGGAGTGATCATGGCAGTGATTGCTTACACTGCGATCACGGCTCTTCTGTTGGGAAGAGCGTACAAAAATAGGTCACTCACTGTGACACATAATTCGAAGTTTCTGATCAGCATCCATGACAGGACGGTTTCGAATGCTCTGTCGGAGGATCGTCCGGAGGAGGATCTGATGCTTCTCGAAGAGGAGCCCGAGCGCGTTGTGCCGGACGATGGGAGCAACTCGTCATCTGTAGGCTTACGGCTTGCCGCAGCATTAGGGGAGGACAACAATAGCGAGAACAACAACGATGAAGTTATATCAGAAGATGCTAACGAGGAGGATTGGCGGGACAGGTTGTATCATTCCTCCGTAGTTTTTGGCCTCAACTACGAAGAGATGATATCCAGTTTTAAGATTTTTGTTTATTCCCGGCTTGACCACGCCTTTGCAGCCTTATCCGGCAGTGCAGACGGCGATGAAGTTCGCTACATCGATGACCTCTTCTTCCAAACTCTTTACCAGAGCGATTTCGTTACGAACGAACCTGAGAAAGCTCATTTGTATTTCATTCCCGTTTCCATCCGAGCCTTGTGGAACGATGAGCGTGTCGGCCCTTTGAAGATGGGACGCTTTTTGAACAAATACATCCAGGGTCTCAGAGATGATTATCCATACTGGCAAAGAACTCTTGGGGCAGATCATGCTATTGTTGTCTGCCATGATTACAAAGAAGATGGATCAAGAAACGCACTGGAGCTGAAGAAGAACGTGATCCAAGTGTCATGTTCACCGCTAGCTGGGGCCCAAACCTTTTTCCCTCATAAGGATTTTGCTATTCCACCATTTCGCCGCCCTATCGATCCTTCGACAGCACGAGAAATTGAAGTCAGCGAGCGCACGAAGTTATTGTACCATTCTGGGAGGGATTCAAAAGGCTTGACCAGAATGTGGCATGAGGACGGCGACGTTCTGTTGCAGGCGGATGATGTGGCCTCTGACATCGACCACAAGCATTTGCTTTCCAGCAAGTATTGCTTGATATTGGCCCCTGAAGAGACGTCGAGAGTAGTCGATGCCTTGAGGTTTGGGTGCGTTCCCGTCATCGTTTCAGATGGCCGCATGTATGACTTGCCATATCAGGACGTCCTCAACTGGAATGAGTTCGCGGTTGTCTTAAGCGTGAAAAATCTGAAACACTTGAAAAGACTCTTGCAGGATATGTCGCAAGAGCAGTACAAACGCATGCAGATTTTGGGGCTTGAGGCTAGCAAGCACATGGAGTGGCACACGCCTCCACAAGACCAAGATGCATTCTACATGGCTCTTTACGATCTCTGGGTTCGTCGTCACGCCATTAGATACGCTGAAAGGGAGGATTTGTAACTGAACTGTCGATATGTCGGATCTCGCTACGAAGGCAGCACCAACAAGCATGTGATTTGCTTGTGCAGTCGGGCATGACACATCCAAGTGTTGACTACAAACAGGAGGTCAGGCTGCAGGTGACTCTCCGATGTACAGGGACAAACTTTAGCAGGGTAGAATGCGATGACAATCTGCACAATACGTAGCAGCTGCCATCTCATCTCACCTATGCTCCGAGGCATGATGTTTCCGTATACCTGACTCCCTACGCCCTGCGCAGAACATCACAACCTGCACGAGAAGGTAGGTCCGGGAAATTGTTTTGTTCACTTCCTGTTTTCCACGCATGGGGAAGCGTTATAAAGATGAGTTACCTTCAATTGTATTGATGACAAATAGTTCTTTCGTTATCGTCAATTTGGGGTGTGCAATTTTCATTCAGATCTGTAAATCGGATGCTCATCTAAGTAGTTTCCCCAAAGCTCTCAAGGGACAAAGCAGCGTTCTCATTACTGTGAGTTAGGCGACACATATGGTTGTGGCAGGTGCTCTTATTGTTAGCAAGTGAAACTCTTGGTTATGAGATCCAGGGTCAAACAGAATACTCTATGCATGTGGAACATTTCTACTTCGTTAACTTCGCAAAACTATCCTACATATCGTAGCATTGATTAACTCGACAAGATTAGTTGCATAAAATTCGCTTTGGTGGAGGCAGAGAATAAGTTTCTTCGCTGGGGCATTAGAAATTGTTGGACCCATAAAATATGGATTCATTCCATTTTTGGCCAAATGGTTTTAGTTAGAGTTAGAATATTTCATAGGTTAAATAGTTTAATTAATTTTTTTACATATTTATTTAATTTGTCTGCGGAGGGGATGCAATTTTAGAATAACTTGAAAAGTGTATCTACTTTAATTTTATGTGGTGATATTTGTTTTGGTTTACCAATTTGGTTGTTTTTATTTCAGACGAAATGTGATATTATTTTTTGAGTAATTAAATTATTATTATTTTCATAAATAATAATTTTAATGTTCTAATTATTACAAAATCGAAATACATTATTATTATGATATTTTAAATGAAAATATAATGTGACGAAAATTTTCATTACTGATTTATTTCATTCAATTGAATTGTGAAATATCTATATTTGGTGTGAAACTATCACTAACATTGTAGAATAAAAATTATCATATTTGTCATATATACAATGATTTAAACAAATCCTACTTGGAGTAATTTTGAGATCCAGATCTACAATTTAGTTGGATTGTAAAATTGATGGTAAACTTACATCAATAAATATGATGTGGAAACGTTATAGATGAAATTAAATCTTAAAAAAAAATTCCACATTAAAATTGAAACTTCCATATTTATGCAGATTCAATTATTCAATGAATCTTCAAATTAAATAGATCTATATTAAAATGTAATTTTATAACCAAACTATCTTTTTTTAAGAGTAAGTAGTTTTTATATATATTTCTGAACATCTCAGTAAATCAAACAATATCTAAGTCTGATCAATGGTTATTTTTTTTCATTCTTGTAAATTAGATTAAGGTCTACAAATATATACTAAATTTAATATTTTTTAATTTATGTATAAAACACATAAAAAATAAAATAAAATTACCAATTGATTTATATCAATTAATATCTTCTCTTTAAGAAGAATTTGATATTTATATCAATTAGTAACAAAAAAATTTCAATATTTTGAGTTTGAGGTTTTTAATTTTAATAAAGAACCTATATTATTTTATGTTAAATCCAAGTTCAAAGTTTATATTATCTATAAAATAAAATTTTATTTTATTTTACAATAATTTGATATATCATAGAAAAAATGTTTTCATTTGATGATGATTAATTATTGATAGATGAATTAATTTATCAATAATGATTTCATTTTATTTTAATTTTTTTAATGTTATCTTAATAATTCATATCCTGAAGTAAAACTAAGTTTTACTATATTCAACATATGTCTTTTATTTAGTGTGAATTTTATGATTGAATTCAAAATATGTGATTGTGTATTTAAATTTAAAGAAATGTAAGAATGTACCAAGTTGTACTTCTTTATCTCTAAATGCAGTGCAGATTGAAGTAATTCGTTGAATTCTACTCTAATAGGTTTACTCAGGTTTGGTGGTGGAAAGTTATCTTGTACACATGAGAACTGTGCCAAAAAGTTTTACATATTTTATTTCATTTACATAAAAAATAATAGTGAGTAAATAGATATTATGATATTTTTTGATTAATTATAAAAATTAATTAAATAAATTTTTTATTAATAAATATTTATTAGTATTAACAACAACAACTCAAATCTTGAGTATATATAGAATTAGTCGTTGTTCTATTTAGAGTTAACCGTTATTCTATATAAGATTTAGTATTTGGAAAATTCTAAATTAGAAACTTTAGCATCATGTATTTATATTTGGATCTAAGATATCAACTCAAATAAAAATACAAGAGTACAAAACAAGTCTAGATAGAATAACCTAATACACTTGAAAGTTCTTTGGAGTAAGAGATCTGTTTGTATTGTGATCGTATGCAAAATCGTATGAATTATGTATCGTACTATGTGTTAGTGTGATTTTGGTGTCAAAACTTCATACTACATTATTGAAATATTTATTTCATGTATAAACTTTTTGGAGTAAAGTATTGTTGTTCCCGTGAACGTATTTCAAGATCGGATGAATTATTGAGATATTTACTTGATCTATAAGCTCTTTGATATTTACTTGATCTATAAGCACTTTGAAATAAAGGATTTGTTGTTCTCGTGTACGTATCTCAAAATAGAATGAATTACATATCAAACTATTTGTTGGTGTGCTTTTGGTGTCAAAAATTCATACAACATCATTGAGATATTTACTTCGCTTCAAAATGATACTTTTTGTCAAAATAAATAAGATGATTGATAAAAAATTTAACATACTCAATTTGAAATAAAATAAAATTGTATATCTTTATTAACAAAAATACTAGTTAGTGTAATGTTAGAAGATAAGCAACATAAACAATGAAAAGCACATCGATGTTACATGCTACATATTTTAACATTGCAATTGATGGTTGAATGATTGAGGTGACCAGAATTGTTTGAGCAAATCAAGAATAATGAGTGAAGTAAACTTGGAGAGTTTTGCTTGATGGTAACCTTGTGGAAAGTAATTTGTTTGATGGGACCTCTCAGGTTTAGTTTTATCCGATGGAATCCCATGAACGGTGCACCCTCATTCAAACTAATAACGACTTGAGTTTTAGAGTTAGTGCAATGAGTCAACCACACCCGCGGACAGAGTGGACTTCGCGTTCCGTCACACTCACTTGTTTTTATTTTGTCATTCTATATCCGGCCACTCCCCAAGTTGACGTGTCGCATACGCAGGGTTATAGAAGAAGGGTGCAGGCAGAGCAAAGAAATCCGCGAATCGGTACGATCGGGAGAATTGGAGCACAACAAATTGCACTTCGGGCAAAATTTATCTTTGTCCCCGTGATAATCCACCAGAAATTATAATCAAGGATTGATCTCTAATTGTAATCTCCGCATTGTAACTATCAATCATAGTTACAAGAACTATGGACGACGGCACACAGTCGTTGAGGTCCCATCGGGTAAAACAAAACCTGAAGGTCCCATCAAGCAAATTACTTTCCGCATGGGTCCCATCAAACAAATCTCTCAGGAAACTTGCGATTAACCTTGACATATCTGCGAGCATGTGAGATAATGCCAAGTCAGATAGTGTAAACGTACATGCATGCATGAAGCAATATCTTGCTGATTGAAGGCTAAGCAACAAACAACAAGGCAACAATCTAAAAGCAAATTTCAAATTTCAGATCTTAAAAATACATATCTGATATCAAAAGCAGAATTCATAAATTACTTGAGTCTGAAATCAAGATTCATGATTTTTGAAATGAGTAAATAGATTTTTGAAATCAATAGTTAGTTTAGGATTTGAAAACCCTAATCTAACAAAAATTTTTAATTTCAAGAAAATGATTAATATTAAATGTTATACAAATATTTATTAATGATTTGTAACATTAATCATTGAAAAAAGGATTAAAAAAATAAACACAAATTGCTTATTTCATATATATATCTAGATTGATCATATCATATCTTAAAGTGATTTTGACAACATTTATAACAAATAATTTTGAATTACATTATCCATTTCACATTTAGTGGATTGATCATATCATGGATATGCGTCATTAACACATCTATTATTAGTATGATGGTTTGAATTAACACCTTTAATACTAGTCTAACAAGCAAATGTATTGATGACATATTATTGTAAATAGTATATTATTTTTTAATCTAACAAGCACAAATTTTTAATGTAACATTTAAAATAGTTCATTTTAAATCAATCTGAACTCCATGTTAAAAAATTTATACTTTAATTGTAACCAACTGAAGATAATTGTTTTTTACTGTTTTTATAATACAATATTTTTCAAATTATATGATAGTACATGAGAAAAATTACTTTGAAGATTTGTGATTTAAATTTTGTTATTAAATGAAGAAAAGTATCTTTGATGTCTTTTCAAAATCAACAGATCTCAAAAAATTATTTTGACAAATGAATTGATAGTATGTAGCATATAAATATGATTTTCGTTTGTTATACAATCCACAAAGCAAAAAAAGGAAAAATTAAATTAAAAAAACACATATTGTAAATAGTTTGATATCACACTGTATGATATCATTGGAAATATTCAGAACTAATAATATTTTATTCCGAAATTTTCAAATCTATATTTTGATTCAATTTCAAAGTGAGCAAGCTTCGTTTTAGTGATAAATTAACTTTCGAGCTATGTGAGTGTTTTACTAGTACTGTGGATTTTTATGTCGGAATCATATAATATCTTGAGTTCTTTGAATTCATCACTCGTCAATTTCTTCTTAGAAGAATCTCATTGCTTCTTACTCATGTGAGCTGGTTTTCTTTTGTATGGAGATTAGGGCCGGAGTTCAAATTTTGTGAATGTATAGATACATTTTTTTAAATTTTAGTTCATATGCACCATCATTGCATTGCTTTGAGATTTTTAGAAGAAGAAATATATATATATATATATATATATATATATATACAGTATTGAAAAAGATGAATATTCATACATTTCTCTTATAGTTGACTGTCTTATTTTGATTCAACTGGTTTTGGACTTAGAAACATACTTCGGGTTCGTTGCAGCTCTTCTTTGCAGACATCCTTGCCTAATCTTTTGGCGCCAATATTTTATGGTTTGTGTTTTTTCTTTATTCATCCTACCTCATCCCATAATTATGCATGTCCTATGATGAATTCTCACTGCGAGACATCTTTGTTGAGTTTTGAAATATTGGTCTAAAACATATCATATACATGTGACGTTTGAAGACACAGATTCAAATTCTTTCACGCTGACATGGGATAGAATGTACAAGCTTGTGATATGATCTTCTCAATTTTCATGCCTACATTTAAAATGAAAGATCTAGAATTATTTTTCAGTCTCCTAGGAGAGATGCACTGATCTATGAGGGCCAGAAGTCAAAACAATGCTGACATGTCATGAGTCCCATACAATAACAGTTTTCTTCAGATAGCAGCAATTTCATGCATGACATTCAAGAAAATATAGCATATGACAAGCGACAGGGATGAAGACAAGGAGACACAATGAGTGGATCGGCGTCCGACAGATGCTTCCTAAACTTTGATCGTAGAGATCTTTGTTCAGTATCATCACCAGCTGGATGAGGTAATTTGACGAGCAGACTGGATGTCAATGATTTAATATGGCAAGACATGCACTTGTATCTCTATGTTGTCTTATTATCCTATAGGAAACTTATGACTCTCGTGCGGTCTAAGGCTCTGTTTCTGAGTTCCACATCAGTACCATTTTAAATATACGGGATATGTCACACTTCCAGCTTAACCCTTTCGGATGTATCATGCTTGGACAAGATAGTGACAACATGCATTACATGAATATTTAGTTTTTAGAAGATTTGATCTTGAGCTTTACTATTTTTCTCTTTTGATGCACTGTTCCCCCCGCACGTACTTGTTGCTTCTCCTCTTTCCGTAATTCGACAGGCAGTAGTAGCCTCTTGCAGTGACTGGTTCATATATGGAGAGTGCATAGCTGATGCATTGGCAGTGGTTACGTCCTTCTTTCGATGCGCACTGTTCGCAACAAAAAAAGAGAAAAAAAGGACAGATGTAACAAAAATAGTGAGGTAGAGCATGTAGGTCACAATGACAATTTACTAAGGAGTTAACATACGAGGGCATTTCACCTTGACCCGACAAGAGGTGAAGATTTATCAGGTCACAAGGTTAAGTATGATACATCTCAAGTTTTAATACGAAAATCGACGGTGACTTTGGTCCAAAGGACCAACAAAGATTGGTCAACGAATCTGCTTCGTCTCGTCAACCACGAAGAGTGATCCAGTAAACCATAAAGCAAGTGGAATGGTGTGAAAAGCATCGAGCACTTCCTGGCACAGCACCAAAGTCTTCAAGCTGGTTCACCACGGTTAGCAGAGTCATCGTTAATTTCGTTATTCACCCAAAAGCAAGCATGGCGGCAAGATCTGGTGACCGTGTTTTGGAAGCTGACCTGGAACTTGTCGAAATAAAGCCTTCCCATCCCATCTCATCTGAGTTAACCAAGTTGCCTTGTGGACCTACAGAGTACCTAGACCGGCAGTGGGGCTTATCTGAGAGTTCTCCAGCCATGTGGAAGATATGTGGGGTTGGACCTAGAACCAATGTAGGAGGAAAGTTCCAAATGAACTGTATCAAGATGTCCCACATGCTTACCCAAAACAGTGCCTCCATATCATCACAGTCATCAAGTAAAGCACTTTCTCGTTATCCCAGTTATATGCTGCAACCTCGTCTTTTTTATTTATTCCAAAAAAATTTGGGATTCTTTTGCTGATGATAAATGATTTGGTGGATATATTAAATATGATCAAATTATATTGTAATGTAGACCGGCATCAATAATATCCAAAAGTATGAATTTCTGTCTATTTGCAGCAATATATTTCATTCCTGATCACAAAAAAATCTTCCATCGCAATGATCAACGATAACTTTTCCAATGATTAGAATGGGGTAGGCCCAATAGCAATTGGAATATTATGGTGTTGACACGCAATCAAGACACTTAGCATGAAATAACGAAAAAGCATATCGCACTTAACAACTTTTGGAGTTACATAGAACAAATTTGTGAAACTATTGCAATGATCTTACAAGCAATCTCCAAGACGCCTATGAATGATTCATAACAATACTATTGAGGATAGATGTGAGCTAAAAGTAGCATATCATATATGACAGTTACTATGTGGGTGATACTCATTTGAAATATCCACATGAGATGATGATGGATTCAGAGGTTAATAGAGCATATATTACCGAGCAGGATTAGACTTAGATAAATGGTTTCGAGCGGGTTTTTATGATCCCAGTCTACTCGATGCCAGATTCTATTGCAGTATAGCTCGAATCCATATTAGATAGCTTCATAATTTAAAAAAAAGCAATCTTCCTTTCGAGGTGTACACTGTCAGTTAAATGAAACCGAATGAAGTTCATGATAACTTCCATTAATCATGGACTTTCATCAATGCAACAATAATCCACAAATTCTTCTTATCTAATCCTAGAAAGCTTGTGCAATAAAAATTCTGTAGACTAGAATGTCAATGAGATGGGAGTCTCATGACCGTATTGTGTTTTTTAAAATTATCGACCTAGGGATCACGCAGTCTATATGATTCTCCAAGTGATGGATATTATCTGGATGTTTCAAATGAGCTAAGATACCTGAAAGGTGCTTCATTATAGACGTTTGACGTTATGAGATTAAGACTTGCTAACACATTAGACATTGTGTCTAACATATCATCTTACTCGTCCCCACAAAAGCGACATTGATGCCATAGTAATTATGATACTAACGCATAGTACTACATCATGCACCTTCTCTTATCTGATTAATCAAAATACTCCAACATCTATGCATGAGTAAATGTTGAAGGTCAAAATTTTGAACTTAATAGATATTTATATCTTTCACATTGAATAAAAAATAAAAGATAAAATTTAGAAAGAAAATACCAACTCATTATCCAAATTTGAAGGAAATCAATTATGAAGGTTTTAAAGCACTTTTATTTATATTTCAAGATTTGATTCTCCTTACGTTTAGATTGAGCACCAATGAACCAAAATCAACAAAATTAATATAACCTTTCAATAAGATCATGATGAACTTTCAAAACGATGGATTCACTACCCAATCGTTAGATTGGGTAATGAAAAAGATGAAAATCGCTAGATTCACCCATATATCGGGTCTTACAATTTTCATTTTTACATTCTTTATAAATAGATGCTTTTGCTTTCTAGACCAGCCCACCGACCCTACATGTAGTTGTAACGTAAACCCAGAACCAAACCCCGGTTTGATTTACTCTGACAGGCAGTTCATTCATCACGACTAAATCCTTGACTGTGACGGTGAACCAGCCTAGGAACTCAATGGTAATCAACCCGTCTAGCGGTGAGTTTTTCATTTTCTGACTCATTTCTAACTCACCGCGCCAAGAGAAAAAACTTGGACGCATGGCAAAATAACAAAGGAACAAGGCATTTTTCCAAAAGAACAAAAGTAAAAGCCTCCAAGACCTGTCTTGTAATCATGCTAAGTTATATTCATTGGTTTTGTTATTAATTTTGATCCAAGCGGTACGGATAGGTTATCCCTGAGATTATTTATTATATTTATTTTCGTTCAGTCAAGCTTTAAGTCATAGCTTTTCTAAATAAATCAAGAAATGAACAACAGTCAATCGGCTTGAACATCGGCTTGAAAGGTTCAAAACACACAAAATGATATATTGTAAGTTTTCAAGTGTATTCTCGTTGATTTTGTTCAAAGAGTACCAAGTTTCGATGAATTCTTCAAACGAAAGAAACAGGAAATAACTAAAAACTAACCACAACGTCAATTTAACACCTCTTTCGCCGAACTTGAAGGAGATGTCGTCTAACGAACATATTTATTTCAAATGTGGTCCGGTCTAGACGTTGTAGTTTTAATATTCTTTTCTGCTAGATAATTTGCTCGAATTAATTAAGTTAATTAAATACGATGAATTCACGAGCCAAAGGCTTTGAAGACGCAGTATTTATGAATCAAATTTCAATTTTTTTTAAAATCACACTGTCCGTTATATTACGTGATGTATATCAAGCAACTTTGAATAATACTCGTTCTAGAAAAACTTGTTCAATACTAGCTCATGAACCTGTACGAAAAAAAAAAGCTTGGCTTCCCGACGAGGATCTGGAGCTGTCAATAGGTCCTGTACCCAATTTTTGTGTGCAAAACCGCATAGCCCTTCGCCAGGAAAAAAAAATGTATTCGGTGGTAGAAGTAAAGACTTCCTCCTATAGCTCAAAATATTTCCAAGTATATTATAACGAAACCACCACAATAAAAAGGAGAGAGTAACTTGTTTTTGACATGCTAAAATTAGCTCTTTTCAAAAGGCGAGTCGAGCATTGATTTGAGTAGCTGAGGTAATTTTTTGCACGTCGTTGAAGTCACACGTGACCTGATAATTTAAGGTGTGTCTCCTAGTGACCTCTTCATTTGATTGAGAAGAAGGGGAGAATCTGGCAGTATATAAATGTCAGGCCAACGACATCTATCTACTGTACAAAGGAAGGAACATTTATGGGACCCAAAGAGATGATACAAAACTTGGTCGAAGAAAGAGAACAAAGTTATAAATGCCCTGTATAGATGAACAGCCACGTCAGGAGGTACGTCAGGAGGGCAAGGGCTGGCGCAGGCTCCTCCAGGACTCAGACCAGCAGACAATCCCAAAATGATTTTTTCCAACCACTCGGATTGCTCCGCGTGGCTGATTACAGTACTCTACTCTACTGGACCATGGGGCCGTCCTCGACGGCGCGACGGCTTAACACGAGATCCAGTTACGGTGGGGCTAGGGCTGCTTAACGGCCACTACGGTACAGCATACAACACAACTCTCGGTCCTGCTCACTGACATTGTTGTTACGGGCCGATGAGATCTTTTGACCTCGCCAGAGGAAGGGCAACCGGACCTCAGCACAACAGACAAGTCCAGTCCGTTTCGTACTGCACCGTACTTCACCATTCAGACAGTCATTCCTCAGGCCTCCGGTCTGGATACAGTTCCCATTACGCTCGAATTTATTGTTCCCGAGTTGTGCGCCCGAGAACCTGGCATTAGGGTTCGGTTAAACGGACGTGGTGGAGGCGCTGTCCACCCATCGAGTGCAGGTAACCGCGGACAGTGGAGCTGTAACCTAACCACAGTTGTCAAGAACCGGGTCAGTACTGTTCAGTGTACAACTGCAGGCGGTAAGCGGAGAGACACTCAGTACAGTCGTTCGGGTTCAGTGTGGCAGCTGAAGCAGGAATTCGAAACTCTTGCAGCTGAAGGTTAGGGAATCGAGATCCGACCCTTGTCGTTTGAGGCGCAGGGGAAGCCCATTTGGTGTCAGCCAGTCGGATCGATCATACATGCAGAGGGAATTGTACGACGCTCGCACCCCGATCCGAGTCAGGTGAGTTGAATGCTGCTGCTACTTAACTCCGAGGGGAGGAGCGGTAGGGATTCCGAGAAGAAGGGAGCAGTGACTACGACGAGGCAGCGTCGAGTGGAACCAGCGCTTGCCGTCCGTATGTGAGGACGATGGAACACGCCGAGACAAGAGGCGAGGAGAAAGTCTAAGGCACGGTTAAGAATCGAGGTGAGGAGGCGAGGGAGAGAAGATTCGGGAGTTGACTTGACGATTTGTGCACCACGTTGGGCGGAGGTAGATTGGTTAGTTTATTGATTGGGAGCATGCGTGAATCAAGGGACTGACGGAGGTCACATTTGTGTGTTATTGCGTATGCCAGGGCTGGATTTGAATGTCCGTCGGGGATCGTGTGGCTAGGCTGGCCATCACGCTGTAGACTCGCTGTACAGGTGAGCACATCCTCACTGGTGTTTATGTGTACATCCAACAGTGAAATTTTACTCTTTTCTTGCGAACAGTCTTTGCAACCTGCCGTTAAGGAGTCACCATTCTGTTTGGAAAGTCGGCATTCTTACTGGAGCTACTATGCGTTTTAAGAATGCCCCGGGGTTACAGTTGCTCTCTCTAGCTCGTCACGAGTGCCGATTGTTTATGGAGCGTTCGAGGTCCACGAACTGATCTTCAGCTGCAGGCTTCTCCCCCTACGTTTCATTTGCCGTAGCTTGAGTTGTGCCGTCGCAAAGCATTGTTTCCTCACTGCTTCGATGCTCTCCATGACGGAAGGTCTTCTGCATTTGTGCACCGGCACGTCTGCACATCGATTTTGTTTTGCACAGTGCCCCTCATTCTTGGTGTGTGCAGTTGCGGGCCTTGATGGTTCGAGGGCGCTTGATGTGACTCTGGTAGTTGTTTTCTGACGACACGACCTCGAGGATTATGGACTGTTACGACATCATGTCGTCGTAGAGAGGAAGATTCACGGTACAAGTGGAGAGAATTCGCGTTCCGTCTCTAGGACGTCGAATGGTGGTGAGGCGTTGAGCTCGCTGATCAAGAAGAAGATCTGGTAGACGCTGGGATTTCTTATCATTTCTGTGCATCTTTTGCAGATAGATGCACTAAGAACGAGTGAATCATTGTCGGCATCAAGGTGCCCACTCACAGGGACATTCTCTCCCAGCTCGAGCACCCCGAAATGGGGAAGAGTACATCTCTGAATGAAGCGCTCTTGGACCAGCGGGAGGAAGCCTGTGGAACTCCGCAGCAACCAATTCGAGTGGAGGAAGCGTATGGGCAAAAATTTCTGAACGGGGACTGGAAATGTGGTACGGATGTGTGTGGAATAGCCAACACTCGTAGCGACGCTGCCATAGAAGAACGATCCGAAGCAACCAAGAAGCTGAGTCGTGCTGTTTGTTTCTGCGTTGTGTTTATGATCTTAGAAATCATTGGGGGCATTAAGGCTGGCAGTCTAGCAGTTCTCACAGATGCGGTACACTTGTCGTCCGACGTCGCGAGTTTCGCAATATCTCTTTTCGCAGTTTGGGCTGGAGGTTTGGAGGCGGACCGTCACCGCCACTCGTTCGGGTTTTACCGACTGGAAGTTTTGGGCGCGTTAGTCTCTATACTGATCATATGGTTGATCACTGGAATAATAGTGTACGAAGCAATTGACAGGCTTTTCACCGAGCAGGGTGCAATCGATGGTCGTTTAATGTTCATCGTAGCATCCCTCGGACTGCTAGTCAACCTTGCGATGATGTTCTTGCTGGGACATGACCATGGACACGGAGGGCACGGGCACGGTCATGATCATGGGCATGGACACGGGCATTCGCATGACCACGAGGAAGCAAGTGATCAGGAACACTCTCACACTCATGAACACGGAAGTCATGATGGTCACGATCATGAACATCACGAGCATCACCACGACGAAGCACACGATGAGCACGCACCTCTCTTATTAGAGGATGGAAAGAGTTCTGACCCAAATCAGCACAGGCAGGAATGCAAGCGACAGAACCTAGTAGTCAGGGGTCATGATCAAATAATTGTCTGCATATGCGACGAAGCCGATGGATCCTTTGAGCGAAGACTGACCATTGATTCGACGTCAAGTGAACACGAGGTTCGACGCTCTGGTTCTAGTGAAAGAAGAGAAAATGTCAACGTGCGCAGCGCATACTTGCATGTTTTAGGAGACATGATACAGAGCATTGGTGTCATGATCGGAGGAGCAGTAATATGGTGGAAGCCTGAGTGGAAGATAGTAGATTTGATATGCACTTTCCTGTTCTCCATTATCGTTCTGTTGACTACGTTGAAGATGGTCAGTGATATTCTGGCAGTTTTGATGGAAAGCACCCCGCGAGAAATCGATGCAAAACTCCTTCAAAAGGGCTTGGAAGCCATCGACGGAGTGAATGCCGTGCACGAGCTTCACATATGGGCAATTACTGTGGGAAAAGTAATCTTGGCTTGTCATGTTATGATCAAGCCCGAGGCCGAGTCAGATGAGGTGCTGCAGAAGGTGATACACTACTGCGACTCGAAGTTCAAAATCAGCCATGTCACCATACAGATCGAGCGAAGAAAGCATGCTGCACCCCTAAATGCCCCTTCAGAAGACCATTCTCTTGATCACGACCATTCTCATGACCATGACCATCACCACCATGATCATCACTGAGGGTCAGGGACAAGGTACTTCGTGAGTTCCACTTGCCCAGGGACAGGTTTTGGCATCCCAAAAGTCCCTTCGGCTCTTTGTCCTAGACTTGACGACTTTTAACCATACTGTTGTGATCAGGTATGGTGCAAAAGTGAAGCAGATACTGTTTTGAGTTTTAAGCAGACGAAGAAAGTCCAGAAGGAAAGAGATGGCTGTTTCTGAAGCTTCATTTCACTGCGTTTGAGCGGTGTTTATGTGGGACTTCAAGGAGTCCCTCCTATCTCTTCAACGAGGTTGGGTTGCCAGCAAACGTTCTGCTTCATTGAAGTTGGGCAGGTCTGAAGTGTTGGGGATGCATCGTACTTGTAGGTGGTCAGGATCGAAGCTTCCTTCGCAGAGCAATACGAACCGCGTGAGCAAGTGTTCGCAAGTCGTTCCACACGCTTCTTTCAGTACGCTTGACGTTTGTAAACTTCATCATCGGTCGCCAAACTGGACTGAACGTGTGGGACGAATATCTGTAAGATTGTTGCTGCTCAGCGCTTCATCTGTAAAACGCGCTTACCCATATTGGGTGATGTGTATGTATGACTATAGGTCTATCAGCAAGAAATATGAGAACTCAGCGCCATGCTTTTCCCTTGCAAATGAGAGGATTTGATAGAGATTCCTGTGTCTCTACGAATATATATTGTTGTGTACAATGAGAATGCGGAATAGAGCCTATTTGGAAGTCAGTGCTTGTATCAGTTTTGAATAGAGTTGGTACACACAACGTGGATTATGCGGTTATCTTCAGATGTCATGATTCACAAAATCATGCAATGTTGTTATTATTCTTTGAGAACTGAGGGTTAAATTTCAGGAACTTTGTTGAAGTTCATGAGGACGAAAAAGAGAGTGTGACGGGAGGTGAGAAGCGACGTACTTTTTTTTGCAATTATATTCAGAGGAATCTGTTAGACGAGGTGGAGACTTGCCAATGTATCATTTGTTTGTACGTTACGTCTAGAAGGAAGTCAGGATATTATGTCATTGTACAATAATTCTTGAAGTTAGTGAAAATGCTTAGTCCCATGCTATCCTTCATGGTATAGGTTTGAGCATGGAAGTATGTTCATCCAATGTGCATCAGCCGAGATGCTCTGCCACGGTTTTGGCAATGCCACAATTTAACCTCGAAATGAATACATTTCAAGTAATTCCGCATGGAAAAAAATCAACGGACGCTAACTTCATCGTACGGTAGTACCTAGTCTATGAGTCCCGAGTCCGTAAACAACGTTTTTTCTTTGGAGATTGGACAGAAAATTGCTTATTGTTTCATTCGCAGAGTTGATTCGGGTGCTTTTTCCGCTGGTAGGGTAGAATTCTATCTTCTGCTGTAACGTACGATTTGGAAACAAACACAACCATGCAGAACTTCATCGATCATGGTGAAGTGGAAATTCTGGGCTTTTGCAGAGGTAAATTCGTTTATTGTGGTTGTAATTATTGTGGTTATGGTGGTAATTATGGTTGATTTGCACCACTATACTTAAATTCAGTGAAACGAAAGTTAGAAACGCCGACATTTGATGTATCATTCCGCACATCTACGAGATTATCTATCTATGACACTAAAGAAATTCCAGTCATACAGATGATGTGCAATGGGGAAAAACACGAGAAATTTATGAAAGAAGAAAACGTCTGGTGATCTACTCGAGACTCTTCTTAAAAAACCTATGAGAAATCCTTCTGATGCCAAAGTTCTATGTCAGTAGGGAATTAAGAATACCTAAGAAGAAGGAAATAGCTGGAAACGTCGGCAGTTACGTTAATGTTATGCATGCATACAACGCAGCTTGATTTCCTGCGGAACTCATCGGGACAAACCACAATTGGCAGGGTATGAATAGTATGCGTGCATCATTGTGAGTTCATCAATGTAAATCAGATTATTTTTATCACCAATTCTCATTCGCCAACAAGCGGAAAAGATCACTCACAAAAGTCTATGAAGCTCAGTCATGTTCAGGATATTTCCTGGTGTAGAAGAGCGGTACAATAATAAAAACAGGGAATCTTGACTGAGTTCACACATGAGCTGCAAGACTGCAGAAGATGAATTGAGAACAACACACAATCAGCTGAAGAAATAAGTGGTATGAGGACGAGAATGACTGCGAACTCTCTATTGGCTTCTTGTACTCAAATTTTTGAAGTAAGACACTTAAGGTTCTCATCAATCAATGAGGCTTCAATTTGATCAAGTTTGCAAGACATTATCATAACATGAATAGAGCTTAATCATTTGGAAGAATGCAAAGACAGCCAACTTTCTACAAATTTAATTTAGTTAATCTTGATATAGCGTAATCATGTAACACTTGCTATATATATATAGCAAGTGTTATTCGGAATGACCAGGCGCATTTTTATATCTAGAAACTCTTTTGTGATTCAAAATATATGAATAATTTTTAATCTTCATATCATATGAAAGTAATGTGCAGTACACAAACTGCATATTGCTTTCTAACTAATATGCTCTTCATTTGAACCTTTTCCTAAATCGTAATCAAATGGTTTTAATTTTTGATAACATGATGAAATTTCAAAAAATAACGTTGGAATATTATTAAAAAAACACTAGAAATTAACAAGTATTGATATGTTAATTCATTAATTCAATTTTGAGACAGATGTTAAACCTTACAAGGTTTAACTTACAAATTTATGCAAGTAAAAAAAAGCAAACAAGATTTGTGAAAGAAATCATTTCATGAAATTTTAATCTAAACAAAAAATTCAATCTAATATAGTGAGTTAACAAATAATGATAATAGATGCATGTAACAGATATTTTTTCAAGTCTTGAAAAATCAAGTCTTGAACTATTATACATCTTCATTTTTGAAACTTGACTAGCAAAATTTTTCATAAATTTAAGATAATAATATGTGAATAAAAAAAAATTTAAGCTTAATTTGATACTCAAATGTTGTTCGATTGTGAATAGCTTTTATTTCTTCACTTATCACTTGGATTTCTTTGACTGTAATTTTATAAGTTATTTCTTATTTGCCAAACTCACATTTTGAAACTTAAATATATTATTCAATTTTTCTCAAAATTTGAAATATCTCTCGTGAATGATGTTTATGATCATTCAACTTTTTGCTATATATAAATTATTATCATATAGTAAAACAATAACAAATTTTTCTAGATAGGAAAAAAACTATTGTTCATCAATATCATGGACGCAGCTAATAAATTAGTGAGATCAAGATACATCACTAAATACTCAAAATTACCATACATAGTACAAAAAATAGTCTAGTGGAAATCATCTGCAATTTGAATATGGTTGTAGCCGTTATTTAGATTCAATTTGATGAAGTATTTTTGTTTCTGAAATTGATCAAACAAGTTATACATATGAGGAAATGTATATCTGTTTTTCATTGTTTCATGATTCTGTACATAGTAATACGTGCAAAATTTTACATGCTCACATTTTCTATTTCACAAATAGCATTGAAGCTCCATAAAGTGAAACATTTGGTTGAATACACCCTTTGATCAACATTTACTTCAATTGAATTTTGCATACTTCCAATTCTTTTGAAGCTAATCGATACAAAGTTGTTGTACATTCAAGTGTTATTTCAATCCTGTGATCTACACGCCTCTTTGGTGGTAATACTACAGATATATTATTTGAACAAACATTTATCTATGCCATAAAAATGTTATTCAAAGAATTTAGAATTTAAAATCTATTTTTGGATCAAATGATTTTTTTATAACTTCTGATCAACTCCAAAAAGATATGCTTTATTCATCACAAAGAGAGTTAAATTATTCTTTCGAGATCCAATTTTATCTCCATGAATTATACAACTATTGTTGTTTATCATTTTTTTCTTCAATCTATCTTCGGATTATATTGTTTCATCCATGACATTATTAAAATGACATCATATTGAGCTAAAAAAATTATAATCTATTTAATCTTCTACTTGCATTTACTTATGGATAACTCTACACTTTGTGATAGTGTTTCGATTATTTCAATTTTCCTGTTTGACAGTTTCACTTTTTCATGCATATGCTTCATCATCATCAATATTAACTTTATTGCAACACTTTGTGACAAAAAAAATTTTGTTGCTTGAGTATCAATAAGAGATTTCAGATTGTATTTTTTTTATCATGACATCTGTGACAAACAATTGGTCTTGTTTCTTATTCCTTCCATGAATCATCAACCATTGTATTCTTTCAATCTCGTTTTTGATTTGTGAAATCAATAAGGTCGCGAGACAAGTTTATGATGATTTTTTTTTTTAGAAGTTACTTTTTTAGCTTCTTCGTATTCTACGTTGTTCATGTTGTTGAAAGATTGTTGTTGCATATTGTACATACTCCTTGTGGTACTGGTCCAATTTGGCAAAAATTGACAATGTAAATCATACTTTTGCATGCTTAATATTGATAATTATCACAAATTATTGTTCCTACTTGAATCATTTTATTATTTATATATCAGTCTTGCAAATTTGAAATCAATGAATACTAAATATTGATATTTGTTTTCATCATGATGCAAAATCTTCTGAACGTGAAAGATTTTTTATCTCCATTGATGTATGATTGATTAGATACCGAATCATCGTGTGTGAAACTATAAACATCCAATATTTGTTGAGTAATTGTAATTAACTCATCCACTGTGAATAAATTATTTATCATCAATAGTTTTTGTATTCAATCTTTCAAATCTTGTTTGAAGACATCCAAGATTTTGGCACCAGTTTTATCAATGATGTATATTTAAAAATCACAAAATACTTCAATATATACATCTATCTCCATTTTATTTCAAGTTTTTCAACTTCATTCTTCCAATCTGAAGAGAATAAACAACATTAAAATGTTGTAGCAGGAAATTTTGCATTTCACTTTATAAAATTGAACCACCTTAATTTGAAAAAAATTATTTTCATGTAGTGTATTATGTAAGTGCTTTATGCAATTCAAACTAGAATCATGAAAATGAAACGAATGTATATTCATACTCATAATTCAACCCTCTAGAACTTTTATTCATATACTTCTCTTGTATACTTCCACCTTACATGATTTTCTCATTAGAATGAACATGTTGGCTTGATTTGAATTATTTTAAATTCGTCTAATATTTGTTCTGTAGCATCAATGGAATTGGATTTGTGTTAAACTTTAGTAGTTGGTACTGAAGTTTCAACCTCCATTTTTTCAACTTGTTATCTCTTCATTTTTTCACTGTGTAACTTAAAAAGACCCTATATTTCAAGACTTGCTGCCTGATATTTTGCTTTAATATTGCTTTCTTCAACTTCTTCATCTTAGCCATGATAGTATTTTGAAATTCATACATATCTAGTGATTTCTTCATGCTTATTCTAAGTCACTTTAATACAAAGTAAATATGATGACTATCCAAACTCTCATCAAAAAAATCACAAAAGATAGAGTTATATATCTACAATATACTTCACGATACGTCATCACAAAAATATATCTATAATTTTTTTTTTTGATATATTGTGTTAATTTCTACATATATATTGAATCAAACTCGTGCGGATGATTCACGATTAATATTATTAAGCATTCAATATGTATTATAGATGATACAATTTCATGTCTTTTTGTAAACTAAAATTGCTCTTATCAACGATTCTTTTGACATTCTAATCACAAAATCTACAACCTATTATGTTATAATGTTCATTCAAAAATGATATATTTCTATAAAACAAAGTTGAATATCAAAGAGCTTGGAGATCATTCATTGCGGTATAATATTCTTTCCAGTTACATACATATTTTCAAATCACAAGTTTACTTTTTACACTCTCTTCATGTAGAAGAATGACCTTTGACAACCACTATATACTCCCAACAACCAAAGTTTATCATCACATTCATGAGGATTAATCAACACTGAAGAAAAAAAACAAGATAGCTCTTAAATCATTGTAACATCAAAGATCTAGAGAATAGTTCACTCAAATATGATAGATATTAACCATTGTTATACTGTCCATTATATAGATCTTATCAATAAGTACAAATCAATAACATTTCATCCTATCATCTACTTTACTCCTAGTGAATTGATGACATGACAGACAATTCTAACAAACTCATGAATTGTTGACATGTTGATTTTAACTAACACATTCAATCCTTAGTTAACAAACATACTTATTGCTCACAAGTAATTTTTAAAATAATATATTCACTCTTGAGCAAACACACAAATTGTTTACGTGTCACTATCAACTGACACACATACTTTATATATAACAAGCACATGGATTGTTTAAAAATCAACTCTGAATAATGCATTGTAAAATAATTATAACTTCATCTTGAATAATTTTATCTTTAGTTGTATGTAATTAAATATAGTTATAACACTTTATGGTTTTTATTTTGTACATCCAAATCTTGGATGTAAATCCTTGTATTATATATATTGCAAGACTGGTAATTATATCTTTGAATTATCAAAAGAATTATCCAAAGAGTTGAATAGATTAATATTGATTAAATTTAACCAATTATAAATAAATTTAGCTATCAGATCTATATTTAAACCCACAATGTTTCTAAAAATTATAAATGAACATAATAAATAAATATAATTATAAATAAATAAAATATCATTTTGTCTTAAATCAAAATTTAGATTTCAAAACATGATCGATGAAGACCTTGGTGAACATAAACAAAGGAAATGCATACTACAACTTGATTGAAATTGGAACGGATGAGATGGTTAAGCTTTTAGTTATTTTCTCTCTATTTTTATAAATAGTACATTATAATGTAAAATCATATTACTAATTCAGGTTAGGAATTAAGAATCAATAAGTCAACTTAAGATAGCGAAGGAGCAATATAGTAATAAACGATGAGAAAACCATCAAAACTTACCCGGGAAAAACCAACAGAAACATGTTCTTGGTTCCAAATTATTGTGACGAGATATATGTCGAATTTATGACATTTCTTTGATACGAAGATATCATACGTGGTATTATATCTGGAGTGTTGCACAAGTGACGTAAAGGCGATAGCAAGCGTGCTATGACATGAAACTGCATTATTTCAAAACACTACGGTGATAGGCTTGTAGTCAAGGATGTGATATGAAGATGTGATGCCAGGAAATTATTTGATGGACTTCGGTGAAACTGAAAACACTTGACGGGACCCGACAGTTTTCATTTTACCGGATGGTATCATCGCCGGCCTGCAGCCCCACCGTTAGTCATGTTCCAATACAGGGGCTATTTCGAGTAGTTAGGGCAACACCATATCGGGCGTAATTCAGACTCATGGTTCCTTTGGTTTTTTAGATATGGCTGCGAACTAGTCGCCAAAATACTCTGTCCCGATAGTGTCAAACATTCCACACTCTATAGAGCAAATCAGTAGGTTATAAGAACATGGACCGCGGAATGGGTCCCATGGGGTAAAATGAAACCTGATGGGTCCAATCGAGAGCCTTCGGTTTCCAAAGGGTGCCATCAAGTAATTTACTCGATGTGATGCCCTTCGTTGACCTCTCTTGTTATCGTTGAGCTACATCGCGATCTTCTTTGCTTCCATTACAAAGCAGTGGGCAGTCACGAATTAATTGTAAATAATGATCACCGATGTCCACGAAGTTCGAGGTGGAATAGGAGGGACTCTCTTGGTCATGGAATTGAGATGCGCAGGCAAGAAACAAGGCACGATCGAGCCACTGAATTCAACGGCCCCTTCGTGATCGTCTACATGGCGCAAAGCGCACGAGACATGTTCTTCCAAACAGCGTGTGCTGGAGGATTGTGAGGAAGCTGCTGCCTCCGGTGTCTGCATCTTCTTCCATCCGCCAGAAAAGTCTTCTTCCTCATGAGAAATGTGAGTTTGTAATCTGATGGAGAGCTGTCAACTCTCCATCAGATCTCTGTCATCTGCTCGTTGTGTTCTGAATGGTGCTGCTATCTGATTCACCGGGCCCAGACTTGTTACATGCCTAGCCTAGCGTGAAGGAGAGGCGATTGAACGGACGATCGATGAGTGTGAGTGATTGACTGACTGCTCGCGAGACAAGAGGCGAATGCTGATTGATTGTTGTCCACCCTTCTGTCTGGTTCTCCTCTGCTCTAGTATATAATGCACTGTCGCTGTTGACGATTTCTTGAACCGGAAGTAAGTCGGCAGAGTTGACTTGAATTGGACGCTATATGACAACTGTTCAGCAATATCAGCGTGTGGTACTCTCGTCTACGACATGAACAGAGAAGAGAACAGAGGAGGCGAGCTTGTTCGTGTTGCGTGACTGTTGCCTCGTCCAATCTGAGATTGATAACATCGTAACAAGGAGGCAGTACTGTCGGGACGAGATTGAAAATCTTCGACACGAAACGTAAGTCCGTGGAGATCACACAAGTGACTACTTTAATTCTTCCATTCCCCTGTTTATACGTAAGTCTCATTATGCTGAAGCAGAGGAACCGTGACACTTCAATGCTTGGGATGCATTCTTACGATAGAAGAAGATAAAAGTATCTAAAGTCCTCATTTTAAAAGTTACAGTTTGTAGAGAACTTTTTTGAGATCAATGACCCGCTGAGATGTCATCGAATGTGAAATCAATGACTTGGAACTAGCTTTTCAATCGACCCAAGTTGGCAGATCAGATTAGATCAGACATTCTCAGTGAGTAAGTTCGACTCAGACTCTGATTTTCAGCATGAAACTATGATTCAGATTTTCGGCTCATTTCGGCTCATTTCGGCACGTCCGACAAATGGCTACGATCACCAAGGCCGTTCCTACTGCCCTCAGGTTGTTTCTCGCCTCAAAACATAAATGATCTGCTCGCTGTGGTCCAGGATAAATAGGTTTGCATTCGTCTGCGTAAGATCCATTATTATCTGGACAACATCTGGGTCAACGGAGACAAGTCGTAATTAAGCCACTTACGCAGCTGCATCGCATTCTTGAGGCTTAAGTTTTCTGTTTAGATAGATGGGCATGCGTCATTTCGTTCTGTTTTAGGATCACAGGCATTTGGCAACTTCTGAGATAGAACTCTGATTGTGCGGATTGCAGGTTGCAGGATAAAGTGGCAGTGATCACGGGAGGTGCAAGCGGAATTGGTGAGGAGACAGTGAAGAAGTTTGTGGCACACGGTGCAAAAGTGATTATTGCCGACATTCAGGACGCTGCAGGGGAACAGTTGGCACACGAGCTCGGCGGACCTGAGACAGTCCGCTACATCCATTGCGATGTGACCCAAGAGGAACACGTCGCAGCGGCTGTGGATCTCAGCGTCAGTGCCTATGGAGGCCTCCATGTTATGTTCAACAATGCTGCAGTAACCGGGCCCGTGGGCCCGCTGGACCAAATGCTCATGGCGGATTTCGATCGTGCCTATGGCATTCTCTTGAAAGCGGCGGTCATGGGAGTAAAACACGCAGCTAGAGTTATGAAGCCGATGCAGACGGGCAGCATCATAACCACAGCGAGCGTCTCTGCACACATCGGAAGCGGCCCCATGGCTTACACGACATTCAAGCACGCATTGTTGGGAATGACTCGATCTGCAGCTTTCGAGCTTCGTGCCTCCAATATCAGAGCCAACACCATTTCTCCTGGCATGATCTGGACACCGATGTGGAACCAGCTCCCTCAGGCTGCAATCGATAAAGTCCAGACCTTGTCATTCTTCCCGGCGATGAAGACCGGTGTCTCACATCCAATTGCAGGCCCTGACAGTATAGCCAACGCAGCTCTGTTTCTAGCGAGCGACGATTCTTCTTTCGTCACTGGCGAAGACTTGGTGGTAGATGGAAGTCATATGCTGTGTCCTGAGGATCTAATCACCAAGATAATCAAGTCTGCGCTGAAGTCTGCCGGACTCTGCTGAAGAGACGGACGACATATTGTGGGGCTCCTGTGCAGGCGAGGTCGTTTTCACCCATAGATTACAACTCTTTGCAAAACAGCCCAGCAAGGGGACCACTAGCCCTGGACATGATGAGGACATCCCACTCTCTTGCCCCAGGTTGCCATCCTTTTCGCTTTATTGCTTGGTGCCCCTTCTTTCCTTTCTCAGAGAGAGTTTTGGGAGCAGGTTAAGGTTTCATGATCGTCCTTGTACTTCACATCACCGTGCGCAGACCCGGGCAAACGGAAATGGCAATGACTGAGATGAGGAGACTCAAAATATTCTATGGAATTCGATGGAGAAACCAATTCAGGGGTTCGAGAAAATGCTGGAAGCTTCTTCTCGTTTTATACGAGCACAATTTGTCGAAGCCTTTCGATTTCTCCATGCGCTGAATATCCTCATGAATGAACCCATCCATTCCTTACCAACAAACGCGCACACAGCAGTAGTCGTCAGTCATTCATGGTCGTGGTAGAAGAATTGGACTATGGCCAAAGTCGGCTCGGAAACTCATGATCATTCTTCCATCCCTCCCTGCCAGCACGCACGCGGTAAACAATGCAGCAACGCAAGCTTGTGGAATGGAATGGAGTGCTTGCGAAAGTCTGAAGATGTGTTCCTTAATTGACAAAGTAGCATCATGCTCACCGGAGCCATGACAATCCGGTTTAGCTTAGAAGAGCTAAATTCGGATTTGAGATTCTTAAATCCAGCTGCTAATTCTGGGCCTATGCCAACGCCACGACCAGCATGGACACGTTCGGAAAACAAATGAAGGAAAGCAGAAGCAGAATCACTCCTACACCACACGCGTGGCAGGAAGACAAATTTGAGATTCCGAATTCCGAAACCCGAATTGCAAGCTCCACGCTCGCCTCAGACACGAGGTCGTACGAATGAATGTACTAGAGAGATGATGCTCGAGACACGCTTCGGGTCGATGATGGCCCTTGGGATGCACAAGAGTCCTTGCGGGTCGAAATTGTCCCGACTCGGAACTCCGCATTCCGCCACTCGCCGCCCGTGAAAGAGATTCTGTCGAAAGATCCTGTAAATATGCCTCGAAACGCACGAGGTGTGAATGTGCGGCACGCGGGGATGTAGGGTTTGTGACAGAGCGGGTGGGAGAGAATGTGGAGGCAGAGAGCAAAATTGCTGGAAGCCGGATTGGGTCGCTGCGTTGCCGATGGGTTTAGGGGAGTCGGAGGGAGTGCTGGAATTGGCGTCAGCTGTGGGAGAGGGTGTTTTGGATTAGGACCAGAACTAGGACGAGAAGGAGGAGGAGGAGCATTTCGAGTGAGACTCCACAGAGCAAAGCACTGCGTAGCTCTTTGGGGCAATGGCGATCACGGACGCCTGGGGCTGTCGTCGGCGTCGTCGTCGAATGCCGCGTCTCGATGGGAACCCACGGTGTGCGAGTCTTTGGCAGAGCTCGAGCCCATCGCCGTCGCGTGTGGTGGTGCCCACACGCTGGTGCTCACCGACGAGGGCAGAGTGCTTGCCACGGGCTTGAACGACCACGGACAATTAGGGGCGGAGCAATTGGACACACACCAATCGCAATTCGTCGAGGTGGTGCGAGGGCTTCCGAGTCGCTGCGTGCACATCGCAGCAGGATACAACCACTCGGGCGCCATAACCGATGACGGCGCCGTGTACGTCTGGGGCAGCAATGCCCACGGCCAACTCGGCCTCGGCAAGAAGGCGGAGAAACTGGTGCACGATCCCACGAGGGTCGAAGCTCTCCGAGGCATCCGAGTGAAGAAGCTCGCTCTGGGAGCCGAACATTCTCTCGCCTTGTCCGAGGACGGCGACGTTCTGAGCTGGGGCAATGGGAGCAGCGGACGACTCGGCCACGGCCGGCAATCTGGCCCTCTTCGATTTTTCGGAAACTCCACCGAATTCCTCCCGAGGCTGGTCGATTTTTTCCGTGAAATTCGAATTCACGACATTGCGGCCGGACTCATGCATTCCGCGTGCGTCGATTTCTACGGAGTCGTCTACACTTTCGGGAACGGGCGAATGTGTCAATTGGGCAATGGCAGTTCCAGAGGAGACATACCCGAGCCCGGTGCTCTGGCTCTCCCAGCCGCTCGACAGGTCGCTTGTGGTGGCTATCACACGGGAGCTGTGACCAGGCTCGGAGATTTGTACATGTGCGGATCGAACGAGAACGGGTGCCTCGGATTTGGGTACAAGCACACGGATCCCGCTCGATTCCCCATGAAAGTCGAAGGACCTTTAACTACGCAGAACGTTCTGGAGGTGGCATGTGGCTGGAAACATTCCTGTGCTCTCACGGACAAGGGTCAATTGTTCGCGTGGGGTTGGGGAGGCGCCGAAGGCTCTTACTCATCGGATGGTCGCTCAGGCGGAGGGCAGCTAGGCCTCGGCAATGAATTCGATTTCAATGAACCAACCCTCGTACCGGTGAAGAGCATGAAAGGAGTACAAGTTTCTTGCGGGTTCAATCACACCGCCGCCATATTCAAAGAGTGCTAGGTAAGGTTCACATCCCATCACATTATGCTATGACAGAGACGAATTCAGATTGCCTCCGTGCCGTATCAAAAGTTGCGTTCCTAGCTGTTCGACAGAGCGAATTTTTGTCGTCAGATGCTTCAGAACCAGGTCAAAGCTTGCCTCCGGGTCGAGAAAACCTCGAGCAAAAGTATCAAGAATGTGACGAGGAAGGGCCTAGGGTTCCACTTGCAATTCATACAACTCACAGGAGAGAAGTATTCGAAAAATCACACTGATTTATTCTTCGCAATTTAGCTGGCATGAATGCTATCGAGAACTGGATCTTGCTTGCAATGAGGACATCCGAGGAAAAAGGCCTTGACGTAGAAAATGTGCATTTGGTAAAAAAATTTCCATTTCGAGAGGTTGCCTCTTCCACTTTCGAAGCTTGCTGAAACTAGTTTGTAAATAAGCGGTACCGTGAATAGACAATCACGATTGAGATAGTGACATTCATTCGTGTCGATTTTGGACGATTGTTTGGAACTGAATTCCCTCGAGAAATTGACCAATAGAATGAATGAAAGTTTCCTCGTAACCCGTTTTGTTTCAATGTTAGTTCGTAGCATACCGACTGGAAAATAAATTAGTGACGAAGATTCCGAGGTAATAAATTTCGAAATGTAATAAAATTATCATTTATATTATTTTATTTGTTAATTATTATATATATATATATAAATAATAAAGTTCAAAAGTGCGTTGTGATAAATATAATTGTCATTTTTATTTTATTTATTATTATTTTATATGTAAAAAATAATTTTCAAAATTAAGTTGTGATAAACATTATATTCTTTATATTTTATTTATTGTTATTTATTAATAATTATTTTCCAGATAGATATATACAATATGTGGTTTATTTGAAAAAATATAGATTTTAAATAATTAAAATATACTTGAATCATATAATTCATGAAAAAATGTACATTTGAATATTATTCAAATTATAGCACGAAAAAAGATTCATTGATCTAAACGAATATTGTTACAAATTTTATTCCATGTATTTTGAATATTTGATGTTGATAAATAAACAAATCAATAATAAATTAGAATTTTTATTCATCTGATTTCAATTATTTACACAATAAATATTTAAATCAATATTTTATGCTCCAATTAATGGTTGTGGTTTTGGAATGTTCAAATCTAGTCATTTTCATCCTTTTGGATACCTTTCATGCATCGATGAATTCCATCATCTGTACTTGAAACACTTCCTACATCTCACTCTTGCAGACAAGGGGCTGGCGGCCAGGAACACTTCACACGTCGATTCTTCCGTTTGTTGTTTCAGAAATTTGGAAACATATGCCACAATAGAGATGAAGATCAAGTCAATTTTACTATACTGAGGTACCGGGCCAAATAAACTAGCCCTTTGTCTATCCATGCTTTGTGTTGATGCGTGATGTCAAGTCTTTCCAAACATTTAAGATTTAGATTGCTGCTTCTTTTTACACACAGGAAAGCGATCAGCTATTCAACCGCTGCTGTGACGGGAAACAACAACAGTTCATCATATGATAAAAAAACCCAGCATTTTTACGGAACACAAGTGTCTTGCGTGGATCTTCTAAGGCATTGCGGTTTCCTTTTTCAAAACGGTCCAATCTGGATCCATGTGTTTCTTCGTTTCCCCTTGAATGGCCATGTACTCCATCGCACACACAAGACATTTGACATAGAGCTATCAAATAGAAGATAAAGGGGTAAAACATATAAAGAAAGAGGAAGATTCCAACATCAAGCAGTTGAACGAAGAAAAATCAAACTGCTAGATATATCACAATGGAGATTATTACAAAACCGAACACACTTGAACTATTTAAATCATACAATTAACAAATAATAGGTGATGCATAGTACAAAAATCACGCTAAATTATACAATATATGTGCTGTTGTTATATATGTAATATTATCTAGTGTTTAGCTAAACACTTGAACCATGTTATCTAACAAAATATACCAAGGAAAATAATGTGATGTGGCTATCAACTATTGTAGCCTCTAACACACTCTTATGATATATTTATAAGTTCATAAATTCCAATTATGAAAGAATCAAGAAATGGTCACTCCATCCATACACCTAATTGCTAAAATTCTACTAGTCTCATAGACATGAAGATGACTTCTCAGCCCCATCAAATGATGTTATGGTGTAGAATTAATAAACACAATGTTAATAACTTGGTAATCCATAAGTGTAGATATACAACATAATATACCTTGAGACAAGTTATATAGATGTTCTTCTTAAGGTTGTTCATATGCACTAATGTTTAAGTTACATCCTAGTCAACAGAAATTGAGCTAAAGTCATTGCACTTTGATGTGTCACAATTTACAAATGTTGTTATAAGACAGTGATAAATAATCATAGTTCATATCTATAGATATTAACAATCTAACTAGATTTTATTAAAATCTAAAATAAACCTAATAACCAAACTTTCCTCAATTAAAGATATACATCTCTTCATACAGATACTATGGCATAGAGTAATATTAAACCTTGTAGCATCTAAAGTATTTACAGGATAACATATACTAAACCCTTAAAATAAATTTTGCTAATGATAATAGTAATTAATGTTGTCATCTTTAATAATATACTTGTTTTTACCAACACACATAAAGCCAACAGTATGATGCTTGAACCTTATACGAACAAAGTGAACTTAGATTTACAATTAGACAATGCTTCTATCTAATTACCGGCCAGTAATCATACTGCTGCTACGCATTGACTAAGTAACCCCGCGTTGAGAGTTCAATAAGAGACAAGGTAGTAGTCATTTGCCGGATCTTTTGTTCCATTTTTGTTCAATGCGTGCCACATTTATCTGCTAAGAAAGAAATCCCAATTCATGGCAACTTGCTGGAATCATACATGTCCAGCGTAGAGATTTTCAATGCAATGATACAGCTTGTCGATGTTGCATCTGTCATGAATCAAATTCAAGTTGAAGTGCATTCTGAGCAGAGATGTCTCCTCATACTAGATGTGGTGTCCAATATTGACGTGGAATGACATGAAATGCATAATGGATGAATAGGAAGGAAGTGAGAGCATGAAAGTGCAAATGTCAAAGTGAATCGACGAACATTTCCGTCCTTGCGGGATCTGACTGGAAAGAAAGGACAATTCGTCCCGGACAGAGCTTGGGCTTCATCTTTTTACTGCTCGTCGTACTGGTTGTCGTCCATGCCGTCAGTTTTTGTCATACCCGCCTCTCTTGCGCCTTGTCCTTTAAGGACATTGACATCTATCTGGCTGAGTGATTGCGAAGTTTGATTTGAGATACGATTTGCGCTTTTGCGCCACAGCCGGTGGGTGGTGAATTTCTAATGTGACGCTGTTTTTCGGACGGATTGAGCCTCAACGCCGAGAAGTAGCTCGTGAAAGGTTATGCTCGAGGAGTGCCGAGCGTTCATACGAGCAGGACATGTGGGACAGATGAATTTGCGGTGAGTGATTATCAGTTTCCTGTCTGGCTCGAAGACTCGTGATCCGTTTGCCTCAAGTGCTACGATCGGTTGCCTTGACGTTGTGATAGACTGAAATTGCAGTGGCACAGTTTACCATATAAAATTGTGTAAAGCTTTAGCGCTGGAAGAAACATAAAGTGAGCCGAAGTGTTTGGGTGTTCTTTACGCTTGGATGGTCATAGAGCTTGGGGGCTTGCTCGGTCGATGATTACTCTCAGAGTGAGGGAATTCTCTACTGAGAACTTTGATCAGTTGATTAGGGTGTTTGGAAGGGTATCGTCCAAACGGTGCTAGCAGGTCTGCTTGTACTGCTCTCGTATGAGATGTCGTAACGATTTCGGCCATTGGTTGAATAGTAAAGACTTTGCATGATCTTTCATGTCTGGTGTGAAGATTTAGAGCGCAGTGCATCTCTTTGAGCGTCAAAAACGTATTGTGCGCTCTATCTCTATGTCTTCATAACTGGATGCAGCTGAAGTATATTCGAAATACCCCCGGGAACTCATACTTGTGAGAACTTAGGCGTTTTCTATAGTCATCAAGCTGTGGATATTAGACACGGAAATAGGAAATTGTTTGGAAATGTTACGAGCTCGGGTCTTTGAAATATCTGTCCGCGAATTCTGTCATTTGTCACCGTCATTCTAGTACTGAAGGAGAGGAATTTATTAGAAGCTCTGACTTGAAGAAATTTATTACAATCATACTGAGCTCTTCTCTCAATTTTATTTAGAATGGAACTTTAGCCTTTTGGCCTAGTCAGCCTTTCTTCTACGCGGCAATTCTTTGTTTTAATCACCTGCCTCCTCCCATCTGCTCTGCGGATGCCGATCATGGTTCTGAAACCTTCGGGTCCTCAACTCAATTCGCGAGTAACTTCTACGACTAAACCCTAGCAATGTTCATCACACTGGCTCTGTATACTTTACAAAACTGCACTTGCGTTAGATTGTGTACAACCATTAGGGTTTCCGTTGGAGTAACACCTCAACTCCCACCTCCACATCCTTTCCCTCTAGTACTTACCTCTTCTTCGAATTATCCATCTGCACGAGATAGTTTTTTCCGTCCCTTCCGCCTGCGTTTGACCTGGTGTATGTACAAGCTTCAGAGTCCTCTTCGCTGGACCTTCTGCTCGTTACCTCTCTGTTTGCATTCACCTCTGTACACTCCCCTTCCCTTCAGCGTTCTCTTTCTAATTTGTTTAACCACTTCACATACTATTTCTTCTTGCATGTTTCTGCTTCAACAGATGGCTCATCTCTAACATTTGGTTGTCTGCTCGTATTCAACTTCTGGTTCTTTGTTTCATTGATTGGAGTGTTGGCAGGTGGTGTGCTGGTTAGAAAGTTGAAGAAAATTTTTCAAGGGCATTGATGAAGTCAGTTGCGGCGCATTGATGCTCACCACTTCACAGATGTTAAATGGGCTTGCGCCTCTTTACGCACCCTCTCTCCATACCGCAAGGCTTCATCTTGTTGCAAATCTCGATCATCTTACCACGCTACATGTCATATTCTGTGTCGCTAGCTTTGTACATGCGTTTTTTGCCTGTCATATATAACTTGCGCTCTGTTTTCTGCATGGTGGGCTGGTCTGGATTTTGCTGTATCCTCTTTCCCATGTCTTCATTCTCCAGCCTTGTGGTTTCTGAAAGTCTAGTGGGATTTAAAGAGAAACGCATGGCCTGCAACATCCTTCTCCTTGTCTGCCCGCTTAAGGGAAATGCTGAAGACATCCGGTTCACGTTATTGCGGTTGGCGCGAATATCGTAGTCCAAATGGAACGGTTTGATGTGGACCCTTGTTCACTCCCAAAGTTAGCCTAAGTTGCCCCGATTATTCTGGTTAAATGATTATGATTGTTTTCTCGTTCACGCCGCTTGGCATGATGAGTCTAAGAAGGACAATCAGCTGTTATTTGCAGGATCTGGCTGTGTTCTTCTTAAATGCGTTGTCTACAATTATGTGGTCTCCTCTTGATCGTCAGTTTTCGAAAGTAATAGTCTTGGAGTTGTGTTTCTACATTGCTTTCTTAACTACTCGAGAGGATATTGTACTGTCCTTGAAATTTAGTACCTTCTCTTTATTTCAATGGAGCACAGTTAGTATCTACTAATAACTACTTCCATATCATCAACCTTGTGTCTCTGGAGGCTCCGCTTTTGTCACGGCCATTCTAACTCAATAAAAAAAATTTCACAAGCGTGCGTGGGGTTTTTCCAGACGATTTCGAAGTCTTCTGCAAGTGGCAGGATTACTGTACATGGCTGATAGATTCGCTTTGTCATATTTGTGTTGCAGTTGTATTTGAGAAGCAACATTGGGGTGGGAAGACTTATAAGCAGAACGGACTTGAGTTCGGGAGATGGATCTACTTGCCAACTATGGGTCTGATGGGGAGGACGAGGATTCGACCGAAGTTTCCGTTGCCGTGTCTAGTCACTCTGGCAGCAAGAGCTTGTTCTCTCTGCCACCTCCAAAGGCTTCTGCTCAGGCTGTGAAGAGCAATGGCTCTCATTTCAGATCTTCTGTTGCACGCAAAGCTGAACCAACCTCTCTTCCCTCGGACTTTTTTGGGGACTCGTCCACACTTTATGGAGAAGAGACATCTTTTGAGGCCAAGGAGAAGCCTTCGTCTTTGTTCACGAAATTGCCTCCACCTTCTTCAACAAGATTTTCTCTTGCAAACTTGCCCCCTCCCTCGACATTAAAGAAGAAGACGGTGGAATTTAAGCCACCTATTAATTTGTCTGCTTTAGAATCTACAGATGAAGATGATATAAACCGTAGGACAAAACGGTCCAAAGTATCTGAAGCTAGCAAAACGGGGCCGGAAGGCAAAGTTGGAGGATTAGCTGCTTTACTTCCACCCCCAAAGAATAGCTTAGGAGCAGGGTTAGCGTTTGGAGGTGGCGGTGGAGGTTCAGGAGGACGCCGTACGGCTATGGAAACCGCTTCTGTCTCAACGCCAACGAAGGAACTAAATTACACCAGGCCAAATACATCACAAGCAGGACCGCAGCTTATGGGAAGTTCTTCTGAAACTCAAGTGACAGTAAATCCAAATACTCAATACCATTATTCTGCTCAGCCAGGTCAAGGTCATAGCGCTCCAGAAAATGTCTACTCTCAAACAGAATTACGGACACCGGAAGGACATTTTGCCCAAGAGCAGTATACTGCTGCCGCAGCCTATTTTACCGGGCCCCAGCAAAGTCATTCAAGCTGGCAATATGCAGATTCTTCTGGAGTTGTGTCAGAGCCTTCGTCTGTAAATTCAGTCCCAGATCCTCTTGCGGAAGTTTTGCAGAGGGAGAGGAGGAAGGGGAAAAACGAGCCACCACCGCAGGTTATAGAAGTGAAGCAAGCAGATCTCACTGCGGGAAGACATCGAGAAGATCAGCTTCGAACCACGGGCATTGCTTTTGGGCCTAACTATCAGGTCCGTTTACAGCTCTTTTCCATCATTCTGTCTTCACGGTTAGCTCGTGGGCTCTTGTCCAGTTGTGTAGTTTTCATAGGTTGAAAGTTTACAGGCAAGCGAAGCAGTACAACTGCATTTTGCGCTGTGTTCTTATTGCTGCTCACCATCAAATCTGAAACTGTTCTTCACCTGCTTTCACTCATCTTGCTGCTTGACATGAGGTGTAGTATTGGTGTGAGACGCATCAGATCTGTTGAGTAGTTTGCTCTAATCTGGATGGGAGTTGAGTGGTAGTCTTCAGGCTGTTTAAGGCAAAGTCTAATGAGTACTTTTCATTGAGTTCTCCGAAGTTTGCTGGTTATAGACATGTAGGCGCAGGTATATGAACATATATGTCTTGTATCCAAGTAATAGTTTTGTGTTTTGATAGTCGAATGTGTGAACACCTTGCCTTTGGATAATGGATCCCTCATCTTGCATGCCAGTCACAGTGCTGAAAGTGTGTTGCAACGTTTTGCAGCCTGTATCTTCAGGTAAAGATAAACCATCGAAGATTCATCGAAGGAAGCATCAGATTGGGGCACTTTATTTTGACATGAAGTCAAAAGAGATGGAGATGCTTGATCGTCGTTCCAAAGGCAACCTAACCAAAGCTGAAACACAGGCCAAGTATGGGTGGTAAACCAGGTATCAGGAAGAGGGTTTTTCTGGTAAGAGGGATATTGGTGTACGGTCCTCATGCACATTGCATGGGATGATCCGTATCACTGATAGTTTATTGGAAGATGCGAAAGCTTTTTTATAGCACAATCTTTCAGCAGCTATTTGAATCCGTTGGTTTATGGATCTGTTTCGACAGTGCTATCTCGATGTATCTCGATCATTCTCAAATCCGGTTTGTCGCGCACGACGTTGTGATTGTTACTCTGATTTTAGTCCAATCTGCACACATTACAGCAATTTAAAGGTTTGGAATAGTACTGTGTATCGTTGGACGCAGTTCATATGAGCAGAGTGCTTTACAACGGCATCACCCTAGATACTCTGAAGTATGACCTAACAAACTTGCACAATATATCAGGAAATCATTAGTCCTGTACTCTTATCTAGTGGTTGTACAGTTCATTCTTCCTATCCTTCTTTGCTGCTGGAATCATGAATTCTCGTCTTGCACGATCATTCATTGCCGCTGCTCTTTGGATTGCACTGCATCGGATATTCTTCCTCCAGGCTTACCAGGAATATTTTGCTTGACCTAGCCCGTCATCTTGTACTTTGCTGGATTAGTTTCTATTCAGATTCACCTATGCACTTTGAAGTCATTATATTGGTTTGGGCAGTCGTTTCAATCAACGTGGGATCGGCAGGTCACAAAACGGTTTTTTCACCATGGACTTTTTCACCTTTTGTCAGTAGCAGTCATGATTGACTTCGAATCAGAACTCCCCGACGGTTTTAGCTGCACAAATTGGGATATAGGCCCTATATAGGGCTTTCATAGATCCGGGCAAGTGTCATCCTGCAGCAGCCGTCACGGAAGTTCTTCTTTTCGCTGCCAGTCTTCTCTTTTCGATTCAAGAATGTCCATATTTGCAGTAATACTCATAATAATGTCATAGAATTTTTGCCAATTACATAATTCATGTTATCATCACATGTAAAATGCATGTAGACACAACTGCAAGCAACAATGAGCATCTAAGATGACAAGAACAAAAGATCTTGGCACAACTAAGCAAGTGTCCATGGTTGCTTGTAATCTTGTTTGCATGTTTTTAACACGTTTGGGTACAACATGGGGTATATGATTGTGCAGTACCGACGGCGAGATGATAATTTCAACTCGTTTTATTTGAATTGATCCAATAGGATGTCTTGTATCAAAAGTTTGAGACTTAAAGATTTTGTTTTGAGAGAATCATCTTGTTACAGTGATGTCAAGACAAAATTTGTGGCACACTGTTCTTACAAGGGTACATAAATAAGGATTGGATGGAAGTTGAATATAATGAATTATTGCAAGTATGACACTCTAGAAAGGGGCAAGAAAGTATGCTTAGTTCGAATTTCATCCAAGATCCATCAACAAAGACAAAGTCCGGTTCAAGAAGCAAAGATTGATTAGACTATGATTCTCACCACAAGAGTTGTTAGGGCAAGTTTAGTGCCATTATACTGGTGTCTTATGATCACATTCCTCCAGGTATCTCGAAGTTGTTATACAAGTATAGAGCTCACATAAATGTTGCAGGCACAACGTGTCCCGATAGTGTTGGCTTGTCACTCAGATGACACATCATTCATCACTCGAATGCAGATAACGACATATTTGTAATTTTTCAATGTTTATGTTATCATTATAGTTTAAGTATTGTTGGCCCACCATCTAAAATGACACACAGTTCATCGTCCGTCATATTTGTAACATGTACAGTAAATTTGTTGTTATTACAATTCGTAAAACTTTGACGCAGAACAAGCATGTCTAATATTTTTACGTTCTTTCGCCAGGGAGTGGGTTGAGTGCGATTTAAGAAGAGATTTAATTCCTTCATAAAATCTAATGCGTGCTACGAAAATACTGTTTGAAAATCAGCACAACTTAGGCTATGTGCAAGGAATCACTGTTAAAGATCATTATCTCAAACTTGCTGATGTGTATAATATCAAATTGGAACTTGACAAAGAAACTTGGAGAGTCATGTTAATGATAAAATTAGTAAATGATAAAATTATGGTTGAAAGTGAATCCATCTCAAGTTAATATATATCAGGCACCAAAAAGTGATCCATTTAAACCATGAAATTTTGCTATTACAAGACCCCTTGCTAAAACATGGAAATGGAAGTTATGTTACTATAGATAGAATATGGCACGCAGAAGTATAAGGTAATATTCTACTTGTTCATTTGATGTTCTTATTATCACGCTTTCATGATTATGTATATTCTACCTAGTTATTTTCAATATTTGCAAGTGATTGCAGAAATGATGGTTTGGAACTTTAACGAGTTCAAAAAGATGTTATTGAACTTCTCAATGTGAGCTTTATATGCTGTTTTATACACCTTGATTATTTCCAGTTTATCAATACATAAAAAAAGTGAATCATTCATTTTTATCAAGTTTAGCTTAGTATCAATCAAAATGAGTATTTTGTAAACAGCTACTAGCAGCAAATTAAAGCATGTTTTCAAAATGCAAAAATTGCAATTTGGAACTTTTTTTGCACTTGGTACGTTTATTTTTTCTTTTGAGATGCAGTATCCACTGTACACCCTTATGGTGTTTGACTAATAAATGGTAAATGGTAAATGAATGTTTTTTAGCCTTTTGACCCAAAGGGTCAAAAGGCTAAAAAACACAAAACACAATATGAACACAAACATCCTACTGTTTTTTGATTTCTCAAAAGAGAAGAAACATAATATCTGATGAAATTATTGTCTGCAATGAAAAAAATGATCCAACATTATATCCTCGGATGAATGCACTCATTTTTCATGACGGATTGACAATGAGAGACTTTATCTAAACATTGTTTTTCCACATATCCCTATATTTCCTTGCATATATCATGTTCGAAAAGACTTTAAAAATTGATTGAGATTGTGAGTGGTCATGAGAAAAGATCTACTATGAATGCTGCATTAGAAGACCTGTGCTTTGGAAGCACATTGATCGTTGATGGAGAAGAATTTGATGTGAAAAGATCTACTGCAATCAAATTTCTGTCATTTTACAAAAATTTTCAACTCTCTAAGTCACAATTTGTGAAATACTTTCATATAGAATGGGAATCTTGTATGAGTAAGTGTAAATTTGTAACATGTGCATCCATATGACGTTATTCCAGTTTGGAAGTCATTTTTTGCTTAATGATCGTCCACAAGTACATCTAACTTACTATTTTTGAATTCATGTCAGTGGATTCGTGATGAAAGTAAAAAACATGTCGTAACAATTAAGATATCAACAACGCTATGGAATCAATGTATGGACACATGAAGTATTTTCTTTATGGTTGGCACAAAAATGCACTTGAGCAACGTTGGATCATACGATATATGGTTTGCTATGGGATTTTGTAATGAGAATTTGGTACAAAGATAAAAAAAAGCTACTTGGCTTTATTTCAAATAAGAAGAAAGATCAACGCGTGATTGTTGTGATTCTCAATACAAGATCTATGCACAATGTCCCTGTTACTTGGCCTCATGGTTATGTCGGCCCCGCATCAGTGGGCTCTACATCAAAGCCAAATAGAAGTTATCTTGTAAATTGGAGGCAAGAAAAGTAAACATGCGAGTGCTTCTTGTCACTCAAAGGCAATTTATTGCAAACATCATGTATACCTCATATTGCAATTCTCTCTTTGGTTGCATATATTACAGTTTGACATTTGTATATTTGGTTAAAACTACTTGTTTATTGTGTGTCTAGATTTTTATTTCACAAAAAAAGAGTATTCTGATACCAACTTGCGCATTTGTTTGGGCATACGCTCTGATGGTATACAAGGTGGAATTAAAGAACTCTTTGAGAAATACCATTCATCACTAAGATATGACTTGAATGAGTATCTAGTCAGGCCAGGAGAAGTTGCACATATCGAAGTCGAAGACCATGACACTTTCAAACTATCATTTTAATGTCACATAAGCACATATTACAGATTATGATCTTGCAATTTGCATGGCCATGTAATTTTGTGAAGCCACATAATTGTACTCGTATACTATTTTATGAGATAAAACGAGCCCAGTAGAAAAATTAACAAACCCAACCGATTTGGAGGAGGAAGAAAAAGCCAAACGTGCTTTTCATACCCGATTGGTATGGTTGAATCACTTTTTTGATGAAAACCCAAGTATGATCAAAGTGGGAGAGCTAGAGCTTTGACATTGCATTAGACGTGTTAAGGAGGCTTATTAAAAATGAAGTAGTGATGAAATACTTTCTGTTGCACACATGGGGCAAACAATCATGCCAGATAAGTCCAACTCATCATTCAAAAAATTGACTTGGCTTGAAAAGTTAGCAGACAATAAACGTTGTAAGCCATATAGAGGACTTGAAACAGGAGAAAGAATTTAGAGCTTCAACCGCAAATTTAAGAAAGATAGAAGAAGTTGTTTTGCAGCTCAGACTGCGAAAGTACAAGCAAAAGGTTAAAAAACCTCAAAGTCTAGTCAAGCAATTACTTCAAGCAAGTGCAAATAGAGACAAACGCAAACACAAAAAGCTAAATTTCTAGTAAAAATGATCGACTTGACTCTTTTTTACTCACTTCTTTACTTGTGATGAGTGAATGTTGTTTCAATATCCCAATGAAAGAAAATCTTTTTGTCCAATACTACATTTGAACGTTACTATGCTCAAATTACATTTTGAAAACCAGACATTTCATTTTTTATACTTTTGTTAATACACGTATCTTGGGCACTATATTAGTTGAACCATGCTGAAAAGAAGTGGGCTCATCCTAATTGTAATTCTTGTATTACAATTGCTCTTTTAGCATGACAGAATAGATCCAACAACAAAAAATGTGCAAGCAATCACGGTAAGTCATTGAAGGAACAAAGTCGGCTAACAAAAATGTTTATATACGGCTCTAGTTTTCTTTCTCTCTTGTTAATGCCAAATCTCTGCTTTGCAATGGATGTCAAATATGTGCGTGCCTGGCTAGTGCGATTTTCATCATTCTCACAAACAAGAAATAAGTAATGTATTATCCATTTCACTTGCTTGTCAGGCGCTAAGTCCCACCGCATCATATAATTGACGACTTTGTCATCATGCACAACTCCCTCTTGGACTTCAATCATAGAAAAGTCTGGATACTCAAGACTAACAATTATTTCCTTTGCAACGATGCTTTTCTGTCTTTTTGAAGTGTGAACGCATAAATTGCAGGAGCACCTT